GCCGATGATCGCTTCTCCAGACGACTGCTCGCAGCGCTAAGACGGCGGAGGTTTTTTGCTTCGACATCCCGCTCGCGACGCTTGCGCTCTCTCTTTCTTTCCTTCCGTTGTTCTTTTTCAATCAGCAGGGCCCACCAGCCAGCCAGTGGATCGCAACGCTGAGCGAGGACATTTTCAATGACCTCGTCAATATTGACCCCGGCGCTTTTCATCCGCTGCAAGGTAGTCTTCTCTAGTGGAGTGGTAAATGGCGACGGTCTCGGAATTTTTAGGATTGCCAGTTGTTCAGGGGCATGTTCCGCAAGGAAAGGATGAGCCAAAATCTCGTCCAGGCTGGGTCGAATCAAAGGTCGTTTGGACAACAGGAGATTGATCAAAGCTTTGGCATCGTCCGTGAACTTGTCGTTGAAGGTCGGCTCGTCCGACAATATCCGCTTTTTGGTGATTTGGTCGTCATCGTCGTCATATGGGAGCTCGCCTGCCAAAAGCGCATATAGAATGATTCCAAGGCTCCACACATCCACTTTTTCGCCCGCATATTTCTCTCCTTTGAGCATCTCCGGTGCACTATAGCATATCGTTCCACAGAATGTTTGGAGGTAGCTAGCCTTCCCTTCATATTCGCGCGTAAACCCAAAATCGCACAGCTTGACATTTTCTTGTTTATCCAGCAATATATTTTCCAGTTTCAAGTCGCGATGCACACAGGATTTACTGTGGACGTAGGCGACCGCTCCCACCAATTGTGTAAATATCCGCTTCACTTTCTCCACCGGGAGTGGGCCGTGTCGAAGGAGGTAGTTGTAGAGTTCATCGCCTAGAAGAAACCATTTGTCAGTATGTTCTCCCAGGCATCTTCAGCCTTGCGCACAACGTACCAGGACAATACTCCAGCACAAGCCAAACGAGGCTCTCAGTTACCACCACTTCGTATAGCCGCGCGATATGAGGGTGGAGGAATTGGCGGTGGTGATGGATCTCGCGCACGAGATTAGTGTCTTCCTTGCTGGACGATTTGAGCACCACCTGCGGACTTGATCAGCAACGCCTCCACAACTTTGTTCTTAGCATGACATGACCTACCTTAGAGCCATTGGTGAGTTTGTGCGACGCGAGATAGACTTTGCCGAAGGAGCCTTTTCCAATCAACCTCCCCAATGTATAATTCCCTACAGTTCGAAGATCCTTGGAGGAGAACTCCCTGCGGAGAAGCATGTTAGCGCAACTGAGTTTCGGGATCGGAAAACCAAAGAGATCGCTTACTCAAGGAGTTCATTGTAGGAGTTGGCAAGCTGTTGAGAATTCTGAGTTAGCCATATTTCCACGGACTTTGCGCAAGGCTCAAAACAAAGGAAACCGGCGGAGCTCCCTGTTTCGCATCCCTGATGACGCACCTTCTCCTTTTGTTTCTGGCTTTGAACCCCCGCTCTTGTTCGGGGCGGCATATGTTATGATTGCCAAGTTTCGCGGTCGAGAGAGAGAGAGAGAGAGAGAGTCTCTGCGCGTCAAAGGGTTGACTAGAAATGGTTGGTGTGTCGGGGGGTGCCATTCAACGGGGGCACGAGATGCGCGGATAAACGATATCCGGAGTGGAGGAATGAAGTCGAGAGGTTTTAGAAAGGGGTAACTAGTCTAGGCTTCGGAAAGATGGCCGGGGAAATAGAGTAACACCGCAAATGATGAAAGGAGAAGGGAAATTGCATACAAAGGCCTTTGGAAGATTCCAAAACGTCAACGGGAACGTGGACCGTGTGGAGAACTCGGGACGACGGGCTCTCTCCTTTTTTTTTTTTTTTTGAGTCTTCTATTATTATCTTTGTACAATAACTAAGTACATATATGTACATTATATATTTCAGATAAATTAAGTATTTCGGACTTTGTTCCTATCTAACAATCTTCTGACCCTGCTTATAATTGTCAACAACCCACCTTGATTGGCTAGTATGCCAGACTTTCGACTACCCTGAAAACAATAAACTGATCATGATCACCACAATCCTACGTTGTAGAGAGAATAGTTAACTAACTAGTTATATGATTACTACTCCGTACTCAGTAGCCTTACTGCCTAAGAGTTAACCCTTACTTGAAAATGGTACATGTACAACGTACGATGTACACCGACGCCCAATTAATTTAGTCAACTGCACCTATTGGCTGATACGTGCTGACATGGGCTAATTGAACCCATCCTCATATTACACGGGTATTATATACTTCATGATTGCCAAGGCAGTGATTCAAGATGTCGGACTGTGCGTTCACTAGAACCCATCGTGGGATCGACGGGGTTGAGTCCCGCCTCACCCTGGAAAGCTAGAGACACCATGCCAAAGTACGAGTGAAGAAGGTCTATAGATTTGGTCAGCAACACATTCTCGGAATCAGCATGCGATCACCTTACCAGGAGGATCCCCGGGTCCCTTCCCAAATCCACCGACAAGATGTTGGGTCTTTTCGAGCAAGTATCGACGATTGCGAACTTCATCGATCACGGAATATTGGTCCAACATCTAACATCTGCGTTAGCAGACAACCACTACCAAACAGGGGGTGTTGCTTACCATCAGTGTCGCTCCGTTCCAGAATGAATAGCATGTGTCTGCATATTTATTGCATCGGCCATTGAACCCGGCGCATGATATTGTGTCAGGTTCAAGGGGTTGAACATTGGGTAACCCGCGGACTCTATCATTGAGAGATCCTGTCTGCGTCGCCTCGAGCTGTTCATCATCTTCATCCTCCTCGGGTTCCTCTAACTGGGCTGTTTGCCTTGAAGCCAGCCATGTAATCAAAGCCTCGAATCGATCGGAGCCTGCCGATAGTAGGGGCAGTGATTCCAGATCATTAGACGTCCGGCGCAAGAAATCTAAAGCTCCAACCGCGCAATACGTGTGTCCACCTATGCGTTGTTAGAAGATTCAGGTGGCAGAAAGGGAGACACGAACTATGCGATTCACAGAAAGGAGACTCAGCCATGCCGCCGTCGTACGTCTGTTTGGTCAGACTGTGTCAGTATCCTAATTGCAGACATAACCTCAAGGTCACTACATACCTGGCACGCCTCGATAAAAGAAACGAAACCGAGGACATCAATATCTGGTACACCCTCAAGCCCCGTCTCATTCCGCCCGCGTAGGACGTACCGTATACCGGCAGCACAACAGCAGTATCGCAAATCACGAGGTCCCCCTACACTTCCCTCCGGACCGACAAGCTCTCCAAAGCTTCCATCAGCGCGTTGGACTTTGGGAAGCCACTCAAGACACTCCCGTCGCTTGACCCGCGACAGGTCATCCCCGAGGATGAGCAAGTTGACTAGCGCAAAGAACGTCGCGGGGACATTAGCTGGATCCCAAGCTTCATTATCTTTATTTCTCTTTTCAGGCCCAAAGTCTGTGCCTGGGAAGCCACGGAACCCGCCCGATGGCACCTGGCAATGGTAGATCCAGTCGATGTACCCTTGTCTTTCTTCCGGGGTGGTTTTGCTCTGGAGAACGCCAAGTACGTCCAATCCCGATAGGGTCAGGTAGGCGAGGAGCATGCGATTAGAGTCACTGGAGGTATAGGCGGACGGGAGGAAGGTCTTCAGGCATCGGAGGTAGTATTTGACATGACGCTCTGTGTTGAAGGTTGGGTTTGGGTCGGTCATTGTAGGGGACGGTCAGGGTTGGACCACTATGTAGTATGACAGGAACTGGGCAATATTCCAGTACTAATCCATGCAATTTAATCAGCACACATCAAGTCGTAAATCAGATCCAATCGTGGCAAGTTGTTATGCTGGTGGGGGGATATCTTGACCAGAGCTGCTTTTTCCCCACATGCGTTGCGGCCAAAGAACACTCGGACCAATTCTCCAAGTTATTTCCGTCTGTGACTTGTCGTAACTTCCTCTTGTCCACAAACTTGTGCTATTGTGACTCGCTCATCATGGTTTTAATTTCATCCAAGACTCTTATACAGGCACATGCCGTGTTTCTGGTTGTGATCGCCGGTTATCTGGTCAAGAGCCCAGAGGTGATTACCGACTGCGATCTGGTGTTTATGATGGGAGAAGCCTTGAAGATTGTACGTCCAATATCCCCGATTCACAAGTTTATTTCTACCATATTGGCAATGGATCTTCCTAGGTCAATCTGATCTTGACTGCTAACACTCGTGACATAGGACTTCCCATCCCTGTCAAGCCCGCAGCAATCCCCCTTCACCTTCTGTGCCATACTCATATTCATCGAGGCCCTTGTCGACCTCGTCCTGCTGTCCAACATCCCCTACCACGAAGCTCTCGATGAAGCTCTCCCCTATATCCGGCCCCTCCGAAATGGCAACCTGCCCGCCGAGGATCTGCAGGTTCTACAGCGTTTGCCCGAGTATATCACCAAGTCCTTGACGATTTACTGGAGCGTCTGGATCGCAGTTGCTGCGTGTCGCTTTGGTGCCTATGCTGGAATCGCGTTCTATATCTACCAGAGCAGAGGTGACCACCTGGCCTCGTCTTACACAAGCGCTGCGGCTATTGGAGGCTTGGATCGCCTGAAGAACCGGGTGGTCTTCAGCTTTGCTTTCTTCGAAATGATGTTTTGGTTCTGGGTAGGTGGATATTGTTTTAATCGAGCAGATTCGACCTGTTGGCTGTTTCCCATGCTAATGTGCTATTCTACAGAATTTTGCAACCCTCCGCGAGGAGCGCCAGGAACGCCTGACCAAGCTGCTGGAGGATACCCGTGAAAACTGAGCACTTCCGCTGCTTCCTCGATGTTACTTTCTATGAGTGTATTATTAACATTAAACATCCCTTCGCCATCAGGAATCGATGGCATTTAGACACACCGTGTACTCGATCAATCAAAACTATATCGTGGATTAAAAGAAAAATAAGATACAGGTGCACCATCCGGCTATTCTCGTGTTTCCATTCATTTCATCGTCATGGCGACATTTCAACGCTGATAAATATAATATTCCCCTCCTGAAATCACGCAGCACACGCTTCACTAAATCAGAATGGCGAACGCCGCCGCAGCACCAGCAGCGGCCACGAGCGAAGAATCCTTGTGGGTAGGAGGAGCGACACCAGAGCTAGTCGCCGCAGCAGAGGCGGACGAGGCACTGTCCGAAGCTGTGGTAGAAGCCTGGGTACCTGTCACAGTAGTCGAATCCGAGGTCTTAGTCGCACCGGCGGTCTCAGTGCCAGACTTGGTTTCAGAGCTGGAACTCGACTTGCTGCTCGAGCAGACAACTTCGGTGGGCAGATCGGTCACACCACCCCGGGCACAGATTGACTTGGCGACCTTGATGGTTGCTGTGATGAAGAATAACGTATCAGCCCATTGTGTATGTTCCGGTATACGTTGTGCGTATGTAGTCATGTGGAATAATCCCGCACTTATGTACTCAATTGGAGACAGAGGGAAGGAAAGGGAACATACTATCCTGGTCTGCCTTAGAGCATTTATCAGCAATGCAGCAGGCGACATCGTCCAGGAAGGACTTGGCCTCGCAGATGCACTTGAAGTCAATGCCGCAGCTCTGGGGAATTGAACCTGTAGCACAGGATTTCTATGGAGTGGGTTGTTTAGCAGGCGGCACATTTGGCATAGTCGCATGCTAACCGTAAACACATACCGAGCAGTCGGGTAGATCGCTTAGACCTTGAGCAGCGGCAGTACTCAACAGAGCTGCCACGGCGAAAGTGATGGTGAACTTCATCTTTGCAAATTTGAGGCTGTTGGATGAAGTAAGTTACTGGCACGGAAGGAAAGGCGAAAGGTTTTGTTCTCCAGTTCAGGTTGCATGTGCAGGTCGTGGTAATACCCCAATAGATAGGTCAAAAATACACCATTACGCTGATCAGCGGTACCTTTTCCCCGCAAACCCTTGCTGGATTTACATGTGGCTTCGAAGGGGTTCTCCACAGCATTGAAAATACGGCGAGGAGGTATTTTTTTTGAATGATTGGATATTAAATTTCAGAACTCCTGGGTATTTTACATAGGGGGTATTTAACCGCACCCCACGTCTATCTCGATGGCGAAGCCACGGGAGAAAAATATCTCCAATACATGACCATGAAAGAGAGAAGAGAGGATTTGAGAATCAAACGGGGAGCGGCCAGACCTCAGGCACCCGGGAAGCCGTAGACCCTATCAACTCCCTCTTTCTCTCCTTTTATGACAAGTATTCAAGTATCCGAGATACCTACCAGTGCAGATGAACATTGCAGAAATCAAAGATGCGCCTTCGCCCCACCTCCAATCCCCTTCCCCCAACTTCTCAGACTTCCGTTGAAATCGATATCGTCGGTGATCTCCAGGACATGCAGCCAAGATTGAAACTGGCCGCATCATCCCTCAACCGACCCTTTCACGTCATCCACTAGTATGATTCGCCGCCTGCGCCATTGTGAGGCTGGCCAACTATGGGCGGATAGCCGTAGGCAGAGGCGTCCTGCTCGGAGGGGTCAAGGCCGAGGCCCGACATAGGATTTGTGCCCTCAGCATTGGGGAAGCCCGTTGGACGAGATAGACCAGGCGCACCTCCGGCCGGGCCACCAACAGGCCCTCCTGCTCCATAGCCAGCGCTCGGGGGTCTCTGATTGTCGCCACGAGCAGACTGGGTTTCACGGTACTTGGATAGGTAGATCTTGAGTGCTTCAGCGTAATTCTCGAAGCCAAGCGAGGTCATGGCGAATAGGATGTCTTCGCCGTTGACTGTTTTGCGCTTCTCCTGCTGACATTTCTCCGATGCTTCACTCGTGATAAATGAGATGTACTCGCTCACACATTCCTGCATGCACTCCTTGGCTTCTTTTGCGATCTTCGCGTTGTCAGGAAGCGCAAGCTTCATGATACGAGCCACGTTGGCAATCGGAAGCCAGCGATCCTGCTCCTTCACCTCAAACTCGCCTTGGTGTCCCTGCGCGTCGTGGTGGTCCTTGTCTATGTGGTCTTGCTCTTCTCCCGATTGCGTCTCCGGGTCAAGATCATGTTCTTTTGAAGGAGAGACCGACGACATGATTAAAATTAGGCTGGATAGGTGTAATGGGCCTTTGTGTGGTTGCGTCAATGCTTGTGCTTCGCGTGCTCGCTGCGCAGGAGTCTTAGGTGGGGAGACCGTCGGCCCGGTGTTTGGGATTTGACAATGATGGGGGGTATAGCTCTTCAAGGACGAGGATTCAACTCCAATATTAAATGCGACCACTTTGTAGCCTATGCTGTGGAAATAATGCGCTTCACAACTTGGAGTCTAGATAGCACTGGAAGCCATCGATGCACATGTGGTGATGTGACACTTATCATCACGTGACATGTCACTTATCACCTGATGCTCATAATCACGTGATCACAGGGATACTTGGAGGTTCTTGAGTTTCTTCCCTTAACTATGTAACTAGTTAGTTATCTTCTTCTTCTATATCGATGCATGCTGGGAAAGGCAAGCTTTGCTGGCATCGGGATCTGGACCAGGGGCCGTTGATGTCGATCCAATCAATATACATATACATGTATGTCTCGAATAGTTCAATGTTTTAATGTCGAACCCATGTATTGGTATTTCATAAAATTACCTGAAGGTCTAGACGTAGGGCCGTGGCATTTATTTCCCAACTATATTCCAAGTACAGACCTCTCCCATTCCCCTATTTTCTATTTTCTACGATACTTCACTTCCAAACCTTCTATTTTTCAATAAAATGACGATCATTCGGGTTGTACGACTTACACTCTACACCACTCGCAAGGTTCAAATGACAAATCTGCAAGCCCCCCCGGGTCAGCACAAGTGGTTCTGTTCCCTCCACAATGCCCATCAACACCCGAACTTGCGAGTTTAGGCTTGTGTGCTACAAGAGAAAACGCACTTCTTTCGAGCTGTTTCTTTCTGCAGAAATCTACCTCCACCTCGGTCGAATATTGAACCAACGGTCAAGCCCGAATGTGATGCCTCGGTTTAGGCTTGGAAGCGCCGATCAAGGCTTACCTGGGCAACTCGTCCGTAGGTCAGCTTTCCCCGCATCCTACTTGTACTGTCCCGTGTGCTACTAAATCATAAATGATATGTGTGGTTGGCTTAGACGCAGTCTTAAATGGAGCTTTGAATGCTGTATATTGTATAATCAACAAGGATTTGAAGTTTTACCTCAAATCACATTCAAAACAATGTACGGGTTACGCCCACACTCGGTCCTTAATATACATACCGACCGAGCTGCTTATCTTTCCCTAAGGTTAGTCCTTATATTTAGTCCTAAAATATAGTCCTAGTTATTGAGCTATCACTTTTATTCATGTCTACTATTCATCCCTATTGGCTCCGAGAAGCTTTTCTACGTAGCTTCCAACTTTGGAGGGTTTAGATAGTTTGAGCTCACATCCTCCGAACCCCTCCTAACTTTGCTTTGCTTTCTATTAAACCACTGCATTGCCATTACTCGCGGGGACAACAATCGCCGCTCCGTTAGCTCTAGGGCTTCCTGCAATCATGGGTCTTGGAGTACTGGAAGATACGAGGCTCGTGCATGTCCCAGGTAAGATTCCCCTACCCCTGGCCGTCCAGGCGCAATCGAATCCAGCGTGGCTCATCACAACTTCAAATATCTAGGCACCTCCGATATCTACGAACAAAACAGCGATGCGAGTGACCAGACCCCAGGCGCTTCAGGCCTCAAATTTGACTGGTCGGGTAACCAGCCGGCTATCCTCGTCCCGCAACCGAGCGATGACCCAAACGACCCATTGGTATGTTCCAGAGAGAGCCACCGTACCCCAAGATTTGGTTCCACGAGCACAAGGGCGCTGACCCAGACGGTTCCATCAGAACTGGCCATTATGGCGACGCGATATGATCCTTGCCATCCTCTCTTTCGTAACCATTCTCTGCACAACCCTAAGCTCCATTCTAGCCGCAAATACGGTGACCATCGCAGATTACGAAGAAATTACGTTTACAGCAGCTGCCCTGTTGACGGGATATCACCTGTGCGGTGTCGGCGTGGCGGGCATTCTCATTGTGCCAACCGCTCGAGTCTGGGGTAAACGACATCTGTTCCTGATCGGGCATGTTTTGATGATTATCAGCTGTATCTGGGCTGGGGTTAGCGGCAAGAATAATAATAGTCTTATATGGGCACGGATATTCCAGGGCGTTGCACTAGCGCCGTTTGAGGCATTGGTCAATGCCTGTGTTGGAGATCTCTATTTCGTTCATGTGAGTGGTGTCTTCTTTTTCCTGTAGATTTAAGTTATGAGAAGACTGATGGATAGATATAGGAACGAGGAAAGCGAATGGCTGTATCCAATGTTGCACTCTTTGGTGCGGCCTTTCTGACACCCGTTGTGGTGGGCAAGATCACCAAGTCCATGGGATGGCAATGGTCCTTTTACTTTGTGGCAATTTTCCTCGGTGCTTCATTGCCACTGATGTTCTTTTTCGTGCCTGAAACTGCCTTTCGGCGCTCTGATTACTTGAACACTGACTTCAAGCGAAGCGGCGGGCATGGCGAGTCCATGGAGTCCCATGTTTCGCTCAGTGGAGCTTCCACTGATGATGCTAAGGAATTTAGACCAGGCCCTAACGGTCTGCGCGGAAGCTCCAAGGCCGGAGCCGCGGTAACAGTCCCCGAGAAACATTCCTTCGCTCAGTCGCTCAGTCTTTTCAATGGGCGAAAGACAGATGAGAGCTTCTTCAAGCTGCTCCTCCGTCCATTTCCGTTGTTCTTCCATCCGGGAATCTTCTGGGTAAGCAACCCACTTCTAATTTAATTTCACGCACTGATTGAATTTCAGGCTTGTCTGATCCAAGGCGTTATCATTGGATGGGCGGTCTTCGTCGGTGTGGTTCTAGCAATTGTGTTTCTCGGTCCTCCAATGTGGTTCGAGGAAGACAAGACCGGATATCTTTACACAGGTGCCTTCATCGGTTCCATTTTGGGCCTTATTCTGTCTGGTCTACTTTCTGATTCCATTAACAAGTTGATGATTCGGCTCAACCACGGTAAATATGAGCCTGAATTTCGGATCCTCTTGGTGATCCCTCAGCTCATTTGCTGCGGCATCGGACTCTACGGGTTCGGATGGACTGCAGATGATGTAATGCACTATGGCTGGCTGCTGCCAGACGTCTTCTTTGCATTCTTGATCGTCGGCATGGTGATGGGAGCCGTTGCTGCTTCACTCTACATCGTCGATGCCCATCGTATGTTGACTACGAGGCCCTATGTCGAAGTTATTGCTGACAGTACTAGGCGAGATGGCCATTGAGGCGTTTACATGCATGCTGGTTTTCAAAAATATGTTCAGCTTTGTTCTGACATTTTTCGCCTACAAATGGTTCGCCCACGGAGGCATCAAACACACCATGATTATCATCGGTAGCATCCAAGTGGGCATCTGCATGTTGAGCATTCCCATGTGTAAGTTTTACCAAGTGTGCGGTATTGATCTTAATTTGTTTCACCTAACTAACCATTTCCCCGGTGCAGATGTCTTTGGGAAATGGAACCGGTCTTTCTTTGCACGTCATGACATTCTTGAGATGCTTCATCTCCGTTAATGTGCTGGTAACCTCGCAACTCTTTCGGTGGTTCAGGAGTGGATATTTATGATCTTACGTGACATGAGTGATAGAGCAGGCATTTATATGAGACTTTACATCTTTTTACACTTTTCGATAACAAACTGGCTCAATCCAAAAAACTTTACACATCCACTTAGGTTCGCTCGGCGCCAATTAATTTGCCCTCTTAATCTAGAATGTGCTATGGTGGGATATTCATTGAGAGCTTTCGCGAAAGTGGGGAGCTAGGTACCCAAGCCCTATGATGTAGTGCGCAAAGTAGCACGCTTAGAGCATCCGAAATTCCTCGAAGTCCCAATGTTGGACTCCCCGAGAACTAGTGGTTTTCCTTGATAGATGCCACGAATGAGTCCTTGCGTGTCCTTGATAAAAGCACCGAAGTGGAAATTTAGCATGAAACGGAAGAAGCCCAATATGGTAATTGGAATTGCGCAAGCGAAGAAAATCCAGATCTTTGGATGTGTCTCCCACTGTAACTTTTGTGTTGTCTCGTTGCTCTCGAGAGTGAAGAAATTCATTCCGAAGAATCCCTGCCACAATTCCAAGGTCAGTTTTTGTTCAAAAGTGCTTGTTGGATTCGATTGCTCATCGAGATAAAAGTACTCGGCAAAAATAGCAAAGTTAGGGCAGACACGGTTTCGGACAATACTTTTCCTTCATTCCGAGTTTGCGCGAGAATACCTTTTGGAGATATTACTCTCGCCCACGGCAACAAAGTTAGAGGCCTGGATATAATTAGCCAACAGCTCAATACTGTTTCTTATAGATGGCTTATAGATAGTATTCACACACTTGATCTCATTATCCATCCGACTCACAAAAGCCTTGGCCCGGAAATTCAAATTGGAGATCATGTTTTCTCGAAGTAGGAGCGCTTTGGAGAGTCGCTTTGTTGCTGCCGAAGGACGAGAATCTGCCCAGGAGTGGTTCAATCCTTCTATAACTAGTTGTGGCAGGTCAGTTGACCAGCCAGGAGTACTAAACGGTAGCTAGTTGCCGTCTTAGAGGAATCAACATTTATATCTTCCCTAAGCTTTCATCCTTGAAGCCACGGGTCCTCCAAAAGCTCACGGGCAGATTTTCTGTCGTCAGGTACCCAAGCCAACATGGACCGCAAAAATTTCAAAAATGCGATCTTAGGGGCACCGTGCAGCTTTTCTTCGGTATTTTCGAGAGTGATAGGTGGAAGTGGCGGGCTTCCCTGCCAACGACCTTATTCGCAGCGAGGTAAGTCAGCAGTCACGCCGAGAGATATAACCAGAGTGGGTTCTTACCATCCACTGTAAAGACTAATGGCGAGCGTCCACTCCTTCGCTGAAATTCCAACGGTGGAGCCCCGAGATATGCAACCATTTCAGCGATATGGTAACGGTTAGTATAGCCTTCTTCATCCTCTCCATTGAAAAGATGCTTATGTTCTAGCATATTCCACGCCTATCGTTGGTGTCAGAATAAATACGTGCCATCGTCTTGTTTGCCCTTACCAAACAGCCAGCATTCCAGATATCTACAGAATAGGACCAATCCAGTTCCAAGATAATTTCAGGGGCTCTGTATACCTCGGGCTGTATCCACTCGTGTGAATGCCTGGGCCCGATGCGAGCTTCTCCAAAGTCACATAGCACGGGATAACCCCAGGCATTATTCCTTGGACGGCGAAAATTCCGCGTAGCGTAGATCGAGCGCTCGTCGTTTACAATTTTCCGTGGGGAGGGATCTTCTTTCTCGGCTTTCTCGAAATATTCAAGAACACTCTCATCCTCAACAGTCAACATAATATTGCTCTCTTTGAGATCTAGAGAGAAGACAAGAAACCGTCAATATACAGGCATACATTCGCCTTGGCAACACAGATGGTACGAAGATAGATGAACATACCACAATGAGTGATGTTGGCAATCGTGTGAAGGAAATCTAGGGCCTGGAGAAGATGCCGTAATGCCCCTCTGACCATGTCTTCTGGTAACCCTTCCGCGTTCCCACCGAGTCTTTGGAAGTCATATAGTGTGGTTTGAAGAGGTTGGTGAACTAGGCAGTGATGATAAGTTCTGTCTGGTCGCTCGAGTTCAAAATAATCAAGAACATGGCGTATAAATCGTCGTCCGACATGTGATGACTGAACAGTTGCAAGATGTTTATACGCTTCCACTTCACGATTTATTTGATCTTGGGATAAGGGGGACCGAACATAAACTTTCAAGGCGACGTAACAATCACTTCTATTCTAGCATGAGCTGCAGTCGAAAGAAGAAAAAAAGCATGTACAGATAGTTCCGGGACTCACCTGAGGTCACGGCAGAACCAAGTCGTGGAGCTGGCTCCAAACCCAAGCTTTCCCAACACCCGATACCTGTCCTTGAAGACATCCCCAATGTGGACGGGATAGAACCCATCCGGGTCATAATCTGGAAGAGTCTCCTCTTCAACCGCTCGACCAGTTCTGAGAATTGGAGCGGACATACTTTGGTTGCTCTGAGGAGGAGAGGGAGGTCGAACGCTTGTCTGCAGGGAGCGAAGAGTACCGATCGTAACAGGGAACTTTCGTTGGACGGAGGGCAAGGTTCTTGAACGTAGAAAAGAAATATAGACCCTGCGGGACAATCGGGCCATGTGTATGGGAGGCATGGACATCTTGGATGCGATGAGAAACCCCTTTTGGTAATATGAAACTAACTATCACTGGTACTGGCATTCGCACTGGCTCCGACACTAGGCGGTACTCGCCCTGGCTTATTCTGGCACTCGCTATGGCTCTAGCTCTTGCTCTGGCTGTTGTTCCGAATCGTTGTGTTGACGGGGAGTTCGCTAGCTTTGCCTTCGAAATTAGTTCCGTTCGTAGGTCTCGTATAAAGTCACGCGGTCCGATTTTAGTCGCGTCGAAAGGCAGGGTTATTATAACCGCGTTATGACGGGGTGATAAATACTAGAGAAATGTGGTGTTTTTGGGAGTCGATATCTACGATGATTAAAATAATAAAGGGGGATTGATCCAGACACACCCCCTCTGGATAACCACACACCCCTTTGGATCCTCGCACACCCCCCTGCCCGGAAAACAAGGCATCGACTATACCGCCTTCCCGATCGGGTGCGATACTAGATTCTGCCATATATTCTGCCACCATATAGTAAAAAATACTGCCAGAAAATATCGTATATTTCTGCCTGGTTGCTGCGTTGATACTCTGCTTTTTATACACCTCCCCATACGCGCTTTTATCCTCGATAACGTCCTCGATTACGTCCTAATCGCGTCCCCGTCCCCGTTAGAATTCACGAAAAAAGTAGTGAAAAAGGGGTAGTAAGAAGGTAGGTTAATCTATATAAACCAGAATTATACAATTAATTTGTATGATCTAGTCTATATAGCAAAAGTGACTTAATTTTATATGGTGTTTACATATAAATTTAAATTGCAGGTATCTACTGTCTTACTAGTATGATATGGGTTGTTTGATACGGAGGCGGTGTATAAATTTGGAAGGCGGTGTATAAGGCGGTGTATAAGGCCTTAAATTTCAGACATGGGGGTGTGCCAGGATCAATCCCCTAATAAAAATGACGGTGACGATATCGATGATCTATGATCTCGATGATCGTCGAAAATGGTTATTGTAGAACCGGCCGGAGGGTAAAACCGTCGAAAAATACGCGATTGTACGCGAAAGATATGTGGTGCTTTTCCCCTAATCTGTGGGCACTTAGGCTAGCTACCCCAGCTCGTTGAAAATCAATGAAAAAGGCGCTCTCGGAACGAGCCAGGGCTCATAACCTCTCAGCGAGTTAGGAGAAGAGAGATCAGTAAAACAACTGTATTGTGTGCTCACTACTGATGATGATCACCCATGATGGAGGGGAAAAGAAGAAGAAGAGAGAGGAGACTACGTATGTGACAAGTCCTGACAAACAGGGTCATGTGCTACCGATCCCATCATGATCCCAACAACCCAGCCAGGAGTACTAGACTAATTGCCGTCTTAGAGGGATCAACTTTCATGTCTTCCCCAAGCTTTCATCCTGTATAATAGTTGTCGCCTCTTGCCCGTGTTGTGTAGCCCACAATAACATGGAACTCCCAAGTTGTTGCACATCGTAGAAGTAAAGATATGTGTTTAGGAGACTATAAAGGCGGGTATTTGTTTAAACAAAAGCGATTCCATCACCTCTGCGATACATTTAACTAGTTCATTTGGCAAATGAAGCAGAGGCATTTGTGGCAAACCGAGCGGCAGGTAGGTAGGAATACATCAAATAGTGAGAGAGAATGAGTAGCCACTTAGGCAAAAATAAGTCAGGGTATTTATTACTGGTACATACATCGCACTTTACGCTTAGGTTAAAGGGAAAGAAAAAGCCATGAACAATCTCAATGTGCTGTAGATCGTGAGAGCTGAGCCTCCGGACAAAATACCCATGATTCCTCCATGCTGTCGGGCACAAACCACCAGTGTGGCCACGGATAATGATCATGTCAGAATCCAGACGAAAGGTCAGACAAAGACGCAAGAGATGTGTGGTGTGTATGGTGTGGAAAATGAAGCGAGGCTCCAGAACTACCTAACGTCCTAGGATGTGACCTAATGTGCCACACAGGGTACCTAGGTATGTCGAATCATTCTCGGAATGGACTAGTGTACCTTGGAAAACACCGAGTCAGTACCACTGGAGCTGTTCTAGGCTTTTCACAGAGGCATTTGTGAATGTCCCCGTGCTATGTTGTTGGAGTCAGAATAGCAATTCGGCCACGACAGGCCTTCACGAGACTCCAAGTACAGGATAGCCGCAATAGGGCAGGCCACATATCGCTCTAGTACCAGGAGTCAGGACAAACGAATACACACACAGGGAGAGAGGGAGATGCAATGTTTGGCACTATCTCTCAGTCTAGAGTGGTTATTGGTCCGACTAACTGCCCAACGAATGAGTGATTCGTGCATATATATATATAAAGCAACAAATCAAGAGCACAGGTTCAAAATTGGTCCTTGGTGCCCGACTTTTGTTCATCGCTCAACCTGTTTTCATTCAATGATGTCCACCATGTATGCGAGGGGTCTTGGCTCTGACCAGGTCCTCCGAGGTCCCGCTGTTTGTCTGCCGGCTCATCGTCCCATGGCTTCGGACTGAGTATATAATGTATGTTCTTAACATTCTTATCGCACCATATGATGTCGTATACACCTTCCCAACGCAAGGTTTTGAGTGCGTTGTATACATACGGGAGTGTAACCCAGCGACCATAGAATATATCACCGAGAAGGGACTGGTCGGCGAAGTCGTAATTCGAAGTTGTTGAATTGGCAAGTTGTTCAATAATCTTGTCGTAGGTTGCCTGAGCTGGGTTCACTACCTGGAGGCCTCTATTAGGTATCCCCAAACCTGTAATGGCTGAAGCACCGGCTATTTGTACGATGTCGGGATTGTTATGCTGAGTGCTATAGGCGCAATTGACTGGAACCCTTTCAGAATGGACAAATTAGCTACGCTGTGATTCGCGCTTGGGCCTTATCCCAATACTGAAAAGAGATTGGTCTTACCAGTTTGCTGGATAGTGAGGTTTATTGAGCGGGTTGCAGACACAAGCGTGGCAAGCAGCAAACACTCGATTTCCGTTTCCAGCCATTTCGGGCGGATCCAAGTCGATATCCATTAACTCATCCATGTTTTGAAGAATCACCATATCACTATCAAGTTGCACGACACGGTCATATTCAACGAGTGAGAACGGCGTGAGTTTACTCCAACAATCGTAAAAGCGCACGTCGTTGGTGAAATCCTTAGGAGCTGAAGGGAAGAGATACGGTACATACCGTTTCCTTATTTTTCGGGAATCCAGGGCTTTGTGGCCATCGGCGGGAAATGAGTCCGTGTATAGAACGACAAGCGGATACTTCGAGCCCACTCTCTTAAGAGAGTGGTCGAGAGTCAAAAGCCCAGGCAGGTACGCAGTATTTGTTATGAGCGTGGTCCAAACTGAGAAGAATTATCATACTGAAGAAAGATATTGCGGAGTTCTGAATAGCCTGTGAACGACTCGTACCTTTCGAGACATCTGGTTTGAAGAGGTTCTCGTTCATGATTTTGACGGTCGTATTAAGACTCTTCTGCTGTTGTTTTATTCGAGGCTTAACTGTATAGAATCTGCATCAAAGCAATCGAAATTACCTGTTGCAGGATGCACGAGGAAGAGTTCATGCCAGCACTTAGATTTAGTGGACACAAAGAGAGCGAGGGGCATCGCAAACCCTTGGCACTCCAGTACCGGGTTTCCAATCAGGGGCAAATAAGTAGTGCACATCGTGATGCACAATTAGTTAGACCGTATGTAAACTAGCACATCCAATGAACGCCATGTCAAAAATAATCTGGTCTAAGGCGGGTAATAAATATAATACTACTATAAGATAATAGTCAAACATCGACTTCTATTCGGAGTATGTTTTTAGAATTTCCAACCTGTTATAGTGTTATTACAGTAATATTCGTCCAAAAGTTCTTACATGCTACTTAATATATTACATTTGTATATATTATTCAACATCATCCGTGTAGATAACCGTTAATTCATATAAACCAACACGCGCCTCGCAAGTAACACTCAGTTGAGCGTCGATTATGTTATATCTCCTATGTATATCTCTTCATCCTAGATACATTTCTAAAGGAAAATCGTGATACATCTGATAATCCATGTCAACACTCCACTCCAAGACGAAGCACTTAACAAGAGCGATAACGGTCATCGGATCAAGGATTGGAGCGCAAGGTGTGGGAGTCGCATGTCTCCAGAACTTCGTCTCATCAAGGACTGGAATTTTACCGCCCCACAAAATCACTGCTATATCAGTCACGATCCTGACAGTATCTCCTGAATTCCCTTGGCCGGCCATAACAGCGCTTACTGCCATATCGGCCATATCTTCCCTAACGAATCGCGGGTTCCATCCTCTGGCGTCCAACCTGTCTGGCCATTTTGCTATAGCAAGGCGAAGTGTCTCTGCCAAATGGCTCCGGTGACCGTCCATCCTTTGCCTTGCAAAAGCAACCAGGATATCACGTAGTCCTCTATGGATCGACTATGACAGGAACGTCCATAGAAGATTATCTAAGGCTTCATTGAGGACGGCCGATTCTCGCCTCGGGACGTACAAAGTTATATCACACGCCCCGCTATCTTTGTTAGGCAAGCGAAGGACCACCATGTCTTCTGATGATTCCATCTCTGCATCCATTGCTTTCATACGCAAGAAGTCCACCTCCTTCACGTCGCCGTCGACTATATTGTAAAGATGTCTTCTACCGTGCGCACCGCCGAATCCTTTAGGTTTATATTCAAGAACCCATTTGCCGGATGATTTGCGTCCTAGAAAAGTACATTTGAATACATTTGATGTTTACGATTCAATCACCCCAGCCAACATTTGCAAGCACTTATCAACCCTCTACTAAAACATTGCCGGATATAGATCGTTCGCTGATACATAAGAATCATATGCACAAAAGTAGACGCGTGTAAGTTCCCCAATAGGCCATTCCACGCGCCATTGTCCGCAGTAGGATACATAGGTAGCTCGATGCCCAGAAGCACTGCTATAACAGAATACCGGCCGCGAATTTGTTAGGCAGAGTAATGCCATAAGGGTCGCGCGCGAAATCACGGTACAAGTAGTCAACTTATACCTCGCGAGAGGATGAAGAGGCATAATAGACCAGCTTTCGCTTAGAACAACCTCGTGATGCTCGCTGATAATAGTCGCCATTTGGTCAACTCCCACCATACTATCAACTGAAAGCATTTTCGATATTTTGTATTGATGGCTATTGATTTGGGAGCTTGGATGAATGACTGCAAGTAATACCGACCATGCAGCCTAGCCAACTTGGTGTGGTAATGGCAAACGACTGAGATACACCATATTTTTTCCACAAAGCCCATGCAAGAGGCTTGCGTTGATAGCAGGCCCAACAGGGGGTGGTTTGACAACATGGTACCATGGTACCTAGGGCTGTCGGCGCCTCCAGCTACCTAAGTGCTGTATGTTTCGCAGGGCATGGAATGAGTCTGTCTTATCGACAATAGCGCCGAACTGGGTAGCAATAGAACCAAGTCCGACGATAGTTACAGCCAAAGAAAGCCATGTAGCAACCGTTGATGAAACACCCATCGGGACTCTGGCTAACCAATTTGAGGGTTTCCAAGGATGAATGCGCGTGTTGAAAACGTACACAGTTTGAAACAGAGAGATAAATGGGACTTCACCAAATCCTTGTTGCGCTGAACCGAGTAATCATTGATAGTTGGAGATTTGCGTTTCTTTTATTTCGCATTTAGTCAAACAATGAACCTCATTTCAGACGTGTTAATGTGTTCATTGAAGTAGCGGTGGGAATCTAGGGCAGGGAGGCGCTCAGAGAGGTCCAATCACTTACTTGCCTTCGCTCTTCTCTTTCATGCAATTATGCATTGGGCCTGGCGGGGGAGTGTATGTCCCACTGACATTAACAACGTGCTCCTGTGTATATTGTATTCCTGTCAGCATTAGCTCCAATAGCTAACGCTTATAAACTATTTATCAGGTCGAACACTTCGTCCTGCTCAATATATGTCAGTTTTCTAGAAATTGGGTATAAGAACATCATCGTACTATCATGGATATCTAAACCTATTATGGTAATAATCACGAACCGGCCCCTGTAATTCTTTTTCAGGACCTTCTTTCATATGAGTGGCAGAGGCTCATATCTTTTTGAAAAGGAATTACAGGGGCCGGTTAGGGCCTGGGCATAATTAGTTCTTTCCACCGGCCAATAGTTAATCCAATTGACAAAACCCAAGCTGGTATCCCGCGAGCAGAGAAGAACCAGAGGTTGGTGGACAAGTATACGTCTGATCTTCCAGCACGGGACGTCTGTCCTCACAATGGAGTGCCTGAACATTGAAAAGGATCCGGTGGCCCAGAGGTTCGAACTTGGATCTTATGGTCTATCTAGTCATTGCGACACATGTACGACTCAGTACGAGTGCACCTCCTTTTCATTGTGAAATGGACCTAACAATAATGTGATGAAGATAACCACGGCTCCATGCGCGAACAGAGGACAGGCTTAGAGAAGTGATGACATGCCTCCTTTCGTAGTAGCAACCGAAAGATTAGGATTATGGGGTGATGTCCCCATAAAAAACTGTTGCCTCATATTCATTCCCGAAAGTCGCGTCATGCCATATGTGTAAGGCCGTTGCACAGCAAGCTCGACAAACCATGGACCCCACGGGGTGCCATCTTCTTTCTCCATCTGCATCTCCATTTCAAAGCAAGGAAGATACTCTTCAAATCCGTTGGCCATAACGAACACTGCCGGGAAAACCGCGGGGGAGTACGAAATATATGTGCTCCGAAGAATAAAGGTCTTATGCTCGAAGATAGTAAGCATATCACTACCCGTATTGTTTAGTATATTTATTCGCATATAGGTACTATCACCGCCTCTCTATAGCGGAAGACGGATGCGAGCTTTGAGCTAAAGCTATAAGCCTGTTTAGATAGCCGAAAAGGAAAAGAGTAAGAAAAAGGGGGATTACCTTATGGCTATGGACATAAGGGCCATGTCCGTAACTAGCTTTTTGAGCTAGTTGATAGTGGGTTAAAGTGCCACGCTATTTCATGTTAGCGATCATCGATAAGATACATAGAAGTTAGATTAAGCTGACCTCCCAGAAGGATGGCGCTTTCGCCGTGATATACTCTTCTTTGCTCACGAGGTGTCCGTCAGCCATAAATATCTCGTCATTTACTGTGATTTTTCCCTCTTTGTAAAGCCTGATTAAGGTTGTGACGTTCTTCTCCTGTTCTGGCATATAAAGAGGATCACCGGGGACAAGAAAGCGGCTAAGTACCGCAATTCTCTCCTCGGTAGTGATTTGTGGGCGGGGTTTAATGGGGAGGTTTTCATGGAGGATGCGGGGTTGTTTTGAATCCGAATCGGATGTTGGAAGATTTGATTGCGGCATGTTTGTTGATCCGGGATGAAAAGAAAAGTGAAAGAAAAGTGAAAGAAAGGTGAAAGAAAAGCGAAAGAAAAGTGAATACGAGATAGCTTTATGAGGTAGAACGAAGTCATATGAGTGTAACCCCCACTTTATTTCCATAGTGACTTGGGGGGAAGTATCAATACCGTTCCTTTATACTCAATCCTAGTAATCAATACTGAGAGATATCTAGGTGGTCATACTATATCAGGTAGGGGGCCGGGCCAAAAGCTGGCTTTCTATGATCGAAATTCATATGCATTCCCTATTGCGGTTGTTGTAGTCAAAAGTCGACTGCTCCTCATCTTGACGAAACGCCACCTCTTCACCTATTGTGTCCAAATGCCGCATATATCAAGCCTATACCGCCAATAATGTTCTTATTTTCTGTTGTTTTCCCAGAATTAAAGCCTAAGTCTCTGTGTTAATTTAGATGACACCCAATAAAATACAAAATCCTTGGCGATGGTGCCTTATTGTTAAGGCTCTCAAAGATCCCTGCGATGTAGCTAGTTAACTAGTTACACTGCCCAATCACTATCTTAATATGAGTGTTATCGTCACTATTCAAATCTTGCAAGGTGGAGGATCGGCATAGATATAGTGTAGATCTATGTTAAATTGATGTAGATCAGGGTTCATTTAGAACATCCTATGAGTCCTCAACGTCACCACCGAAAAATGGGCCTCCCGCTTGTTCAAATGCGGAATCTTCACTCCACTTCGATCTCTCACTAGCGCCCATGGAGCCCTTAAGTAGCTCCGGGATAGATCGATCTTCCCCATAAAAAATCCCAAATCCTCCAAAATCCCCAAAATCCCCCCGAGGCGATGATGCAATGGCGTTCCAATCGACGTCACGGGGATGAAAGAAGCTTTCCGGACTTCCATTCCATATCCACCTCACCTTATAGTTTTGTTCTCTGCTATCCCTCTCTTTTTTTTCTCTATGACTTCTTCCGTTTTATCTGAATTTGTTGCAGTTCTTGAATTATGGCAACTGTGCAAGTAACCCGTCAGTCCCGGCTGGCAGATGATGGTAAGATGATCGTGCATCCCATAGTGGTCAGATCGCTAATCTCACGTGAAATAGCCGCGACTGCTGCCCTTTATGTGACACATCCTAAACGTAGAGCATCTCTGCGCGATCAGACTGCAACCAACATCCAGCACTTCAGTGAGTAACATCCTTAGATACGATAGGCAAATACACCTAAGCTGACAATGCGCCTTGCGGCAGATCCACGCGCGGTGGGCGGGACTCCAAACCTTAGTCACGCCTCCGCTGCCTCGGCCCTCGCACACGCGAATCGTAAACCTGTCGAAGTGTGGCGACCCCCGACTAGACAGCCTGCCGCCGAGAAGGCCGCATTATGTGTGAAGGACTACGCTCCGCCTCAGCAACCCCAGCCCACAACTCAGCACAGCGCAGAGGGGCTGGGAGCTGCAATGCTCGCTGTTCGTGAACAGAGAGCCTCAGTCGGCCAAGCCCCTACGTCCACTGGCCATAGACGTGGCAGCTCAGCAACCGATCGTTACCACCATACAGCCGTGGGTGGAAACCCGAAGGACAAGGCGCTCCAGGCCGCATCGGGTGCTTACACGCTCTCGCGTAAGAGAGCCGACTCGGCACCCAGTGACCCGGGGGCTACCGCCGAAGTACCATATGGTTATACAGCCGCTGACGCATCGCGACATGCTCGCGTGGAAGAGGAGGACCCCCTTGACCACTTGGACCCTGCTATAGAAGCAAGCCGGATCCAACATGCCGCTAACACTAACCCGAAGATGTATACTTCCTCGCCACCCATTCAAAGCGAAATTGAGGAACAAAACTACAAGAACTCGCAGCGCGCTGCTGCCATCTCCATGGCAAAGGATATGTACAGAGTCACCAATACCAAAAAGCCAGCCGGCCAATCTCCCGCCGTCCTAGCAGCCCAAAAAGGACAGAGTCAACTACGCTACCGCAAGACCGTATCCACCGCGGATGGGGCTGCCGTCCGGCATGCGATCGCCCTACAAGAAGCAGCGCAGAAGCGAGCTGCCGAGAAATTGGCGCTTATGCACGATGAGCATGCAGAATACCAGCAATACTACGGCACCGCACCTCAACCACAACGGTCGCGCTTGACTACCCGCCGCAAAAGAACTTCGAGCGATGCGGATACCTCTCAGACCGACGCAGAGCAGTCGCGACAGATCCGGAGTCAGATGACCAACCTACAGACCAAGTTGGACCAAGTAGATGTGCGAAAGACGAAGGATCGTGAACTGCTTATGCAGGCTGCTCGCCGTAATGTGGACCTGACCCTGCAGGACATGGAGGCGCAAATTTACGCGGACACCGGTCGCGCTCCGCCTTCCGTGCAGAAGGGGTGGGATGAAGTTGCACAGCAACGTGTGCGACGGGAGGCAGAGGACTTTGAAGCCGCTACCACCCAAGGGAATCGAGTGAACATCGGCGGCGAAAAGTATATGGACATGGCCGACATCGACGCTGTCGCTCGCTCCCGCCTCCAGCCTGCTCTCGATGAAATTACCGAGAATGCCGAGCTACGGAGAGCCCATGATATCGAAGCTCGTCTGGACGCTGAGGAGGAGCAGAGACATGCTGATGTGGAGCGTCAACGCGAAGCTGAGTTGAAAGAGTTGGAGAAGCAAGAAAAAGGTTAGTTTACCCGTCCTTTCCCTCCTTGGGGATATCCTCTAATCAATGAATTAGGTGGCAGCAAACGCGATAGCAAATCCGAGGGCAAGGTTCCCAAATTCTTCTTGTGGAGGAAAAAGGGTAAACGAGCTCGGGTTGAGGAATCCAAGCCTGAAGAGACTCAAGCCGTCTCGCCTGTTGTCCAAGAAGAGCCTGTTAGCCAAGGAGCTGTAGTAGAGCCGGCTCCGACTACAGCCGTGTCCAACCATGTCTCGACGGACACTATCCCCGATCAAGCTTCTATTGGAACAGAGGGCGGTGTCTCAGCGGTCAGCATCCCGGATGAAGCTTCTATTGTGACAGAGACAGCCGGTCCCGCAACGGTTGTTGCAGTGGTCTCCTCGGTCCCAGAGACCGAGCCTGTAGAGGCCGAGCCTGCAAAGCCCGAGGAAAACGACGTGCCCGCGGCAATCCCCCGGCGACCAATCCGAAGCCAGACCGAGCCTCCCCAGATCGAGCAGCAAGATACAACCGCCTCCGGCCCAACAATTGTGCACTACTTCACGCCACCCGTCACAAGCCCGCGCGCCGACACCAAGCTAAAGAACTGGTTCCGTGACCGTCTCGTTCGTCGCTCCAGTGGCCCAGTCCCCATCTACCCTCACCAGCCAGGCCCGGACTCCAACGCAGACAACGAGCCCACCTTCCAAGGCGGCGTCTCTCTAACCGGCCGCGACGAGCCCCGTGGCGCAGCGCTTGGTTCACACCCTATCGTGGTTGAACCTATCCCTGTCCACAACAGATCTTCGAGCTACTACAGCAACGACATGGATGTGGCCAAGATTAACAGTGCCGACTCTTTGCCAAACTCTACCAGGCAAAATGGCAATGGTAATGGCAAGAAGAGGAACCGTTTGAGCAGGACATTCTTGAAGGCTGTCTCCGGAAGCCAGGGTGAGTCGAACGATGGTGACTCCCGTCGTGACTCGGTGATTCAATCTTCGTCTAAGGGTATCGGCGGCGGTAAGGCCCAGAGTCTGCAGGATAGTACTATTGGACAGAGTCTTCCTGTGCCACCTAGTATTAGTGAGACACTGGGCGGAAGAAGAGAATCGAGATTCTCCGAGAATCTGTGATTCTTATGTTGAATGTTTCAAACGTTGACTTGATGTACGATTTTGTTATTTTTGGTTTCTCGGGTGATTTACTGGCGCTTTCGGAACTTGAAATGGGTGATATGGTATGGTTTTTTTATTGGGGTCAGAATTATCTACTTCGCTAGTAATTTTTGGTGCTTCGTATATAATCGATCTAATTAATGGTGTCTTTATCATTGCACTTGTCTTTCAAAATGAGCAATAATATAAATACGAGGGACGAGTGAGATTCTAGACACAATATTATATTTCTAGGCGTGCACCCTGGGCAGTTAAAATGTTGCTCAGCGGGCTATATGATCATACTACTGTTTCTTCTCACTAGCTCATCACGCCGTCTTTAGGCGTTGGTTGAATGGCGGGGGCTTTTTTATCCCAACGATATGACTTTCTTGTCCAGTCAAACTCGGCATACCTCATATACAACCCGTGATACTATTCAAAACCAAGTGGCCACTCTTGTGGAGTTCCCTTCTCTACCCCGACGTTTTCCCACGGTTGAGATCCGAGAAATCGTCATAGACTTGAACTGCTTTTATATGTCTTATGTCTTATGTCTTATATATCTTGCATATCGCGCCTGGTCACATCCTGATCCCACAATTATTTTACCAAATAGTATCTTAAGTACTCCCATACTGAAAAACTGATCATGGAATCACCACTCCCCCAGAAATACTTCCAGATCCAAATTCAAGATGACTTGAAGTATGATGTCCGCATTGAAAACGCAGAACTTGAAAAGTACTCCCTTTTCCCTTCCAGCTTTGAAGACGTGTTTTTCTGAAAAATGCACAGCGGCAAATTCTACAACGAGGATGATCCAAGTGACATCCTAAAAAATGACGATGTCGACGACATGGTTATTCGCCACAACGGAGGGATCCGGACGATCTGCTCCATGGACGGCTCTCGAGGACATCTCGATCTTGTTGACGATGTGCGGGATGCGAAGATTTGCAGTCTAGCCTGGAAAGCCTCTACACAATTTGCAGCTCCTAACGAGATCAAGAAACTCGATCAGGATGAGCGGTATGTGGTTGATATTGGGAACTGGCATGAGACTGTGACTACTGGACGGGTCCCTGTTACGGTGAAGGAACAGGATTGATCATAATTGGAGTTGGCCTCTTGGTTTTGTGTTATAGTTATTGGGCTCAGTAAATGATCTCGGCCACTGGAGTCGGAGTACATACAGTAATACAGTACCTTGTTTGTCGCGAGGCCAAAATAGCGGTAGATCGTAGCTATCGAGGAAAGACGAGCGAGGTTCGTCACAGCACACGAAGTCATCCATGGGTTATTATGTTCATTCCAAGATTAAGAACCTTCTCGAACAAAAGCCACCAACAGACTATTACTCTTGGATCTCCGTGCCCACTGCAATTATACTTCGTTTCTACATATTATCGTGTTTGTGTTCAAATATCCCAAATGCAATTCAAATTCAAATGTAAATACACCCCCTATCCGCGGTCAAAGTCGGTTATTCCCCCCGCATCTTCACGGCCTAATCTGACATTTGATCTCCAAAACATCCACCAATCCCAGCACAGTACGGGGTATCTCTATAGCGAGGACCGAATAACACTCACATATAACACTCCCATTATAGCAAGTCATATTCCAAAATGGGTATCCCGTATAGCACCCAATAATGCGTTTCCTCGCACTTCTTCTCCCTGTCCTCCTGGGACTCGTATCCAGCCATCTGGTCTCTGCGACAGATAATGGCAAGACTACTGACGTGACATGGGATAAATACAGTCTCTCCGTGAAAGGGGAAAGAGTATATGTGTTTTCCGGCGAATTCCACTACCAGCGACTTCCCGTGCCGGAGCTATGGCTCGACGTGTTTCAGAAGCTACGCGCAAACGGATTTAATGCAATCTCTAGTGAGTGACTTGACAGAAACCTTTTTGGCATTGATATTCATCTCGTGTAGTCTACTTCTTCTGGAGTTTCCACTCCGCTTCGGAGGATACTTTTGACTTCGAGAATGGCGCCCATGACGTCCAGCGTGTTTTTGATTATGCCAAGCAGGCAGGACTGTATGTGATCGCACGCGCGGGACCCTACTGCAATGCGGAGACCTCTGCTGGTGGTTTCGCATTGTGGGCATCAAATGGTCAAATGGGTAGCACGCGCACGAGCGCAAGCTCCTACCATGACCGATGGTATCCGTGGATTCAGAAGATCGGAAAGATCATCGCCGCAAACCAAATCACAAATGGCGGTCCCGTTATTCTCAATCAGCACGAGAATGAGTTGCAGGAGACAACTCATAGTGCGGATAACACTGTTGTCAAGTACATGGAACAAATCAAAGCTGCTTTTAGTGAAGCTGGCATCGTCGTCCCGAGCACGCATAACGAGAAGGGAATGCGCTCTATGAGCTGGTCAACGGATTATCAAGATGTGGGCGGCGCCGTCAACATCTATGGTTTGGACTCCTATCCTGGTGGTCTGTCCTGCACCAACCCAGACACTGGGTTCAATCTCGTCCGCACTTATCACCAGTGGTTCCAGAATTACTCGAGTTCTCAACCTGAATACCTGCCAGAGTTTGAGGGCGGTTGGTTCTCCGCTTGGGGTGGAACTTTCTATGATCAATGTTCTACTGAGCTTTCGCCTGAATTCGCTGACGTCTATTATAAGAATAACATCGGCTCCAGAGTCACATTACAGAATATCTATATGGTCATGGGGGCAACTTCTTGGGGAAACAGCGCTGCTCCGGTTGTCTATACTTCATATGACTACTCTGCGCCCATGCGAGAGACTCGTGAGATTCGGGACAAGCTTAAGCAGACCAAGTTGATTGGGCTATTTACTCGTGTGTCGTCCGGTCTCCTACAAACGCAAATGGAAGGGAATGGAACGGGGTACACTAGTGATGCTAGTATCTATACCTGGGCCTTGCGAAACCCAGAAACCCATGCCGGTTTCTATGTTTTGGCGCACTCTACGAGTTCGTCTCGTGCTGTGACTACTACTTCGCTCAATGTCAACACCTCGGCGGGTATGTATTCCTCCAGTGTGTGTTTGAGAGGAAGAATTGCGCTAACTTGTATTCTACACAACAGGGGCCCTCACAATCCCCAGTATTGAGTTGGCCGGCCGCCAGAGCAAAATTATAGTCACTGACTACCAAATCGGCGATGGCTCCAGCTTGCTCTATTCATCCGCCGAGGTTTTGACCTATGCAACCCTCGACGTAGATGTCATCGTCTTCTATTTAAATATCGGACAGAAAGGAGAGTTTGTCTTCAAGGATGCACCGACCCATGTAACTTTCCAAACATACGGCCATTCGAAAGTGAGCTCCGCCGCAGCGGATCATGGCACTAAATACACATACACTCAAAGAGATGGCACGACGGTGCTGAAATTCTCGCACGGCGTACTAGTCTATCTTCTCGATAAACAGACAGCTTGGAATTTCTTCGCAGTACCGACTACTTCCAATCCGCGTGTGGCTCCTAGTGAACAAATCATTGCCCTTGGGCCATATCTCGTTCGCACTGCAAGTGTGAGTGAGAACACCGTTAGTCTGGTTGGCGATAACGCAAACACGACATCTCTCGAGTAAGTGCGATACAATGCTAATCTCTCAACCAAGTTGTTGGCTAATATGTGATTCTAGGGTCTACACGGGCAACTCAAAGGTCACTAAGATCAAGTGGAACGGCAAGGAGATATCAACCAAGAAGACAGCCTACGGCAGCTTAATCGGATCAGCCCCAGGAGCCCAGAACGCCAAGGTCTCGTTGCCAACCCTGAAATCATGGAAAGCACAAGACACACTTCCAGAGATCAAGCCAGGCTATGATGATTCTCGCTGGACGGTCTGTAACAAAACGACCTCGGTCAACTCCGTAACACCACTAACACTTCCCGTACTTTACTCTGGCGACTACGGCTATCACGCAGGAACGAAAATCTATCGGGGACGGTTCGATGGTGTGACCGCGACAGGCGCAAATCTCACTGTCCAGAACGGCGTCGCCGCTGGCTGGGCCGCCTGGCTAAACGGAGTCTACGTCGGCGGATCCATTGGTGATCCCGCCCTAGCCGCAACATCAGCGGGGCTACTATTCAACAGCTCCACCCTGCGCAAGACAGACAATGTTCTGACCGTAGTCATGGATTACACAGGCCACGACCAGGCAAACGTCTCACCGAACGGGGCGCAAAACCCGCGTGGTATCCTAGGCGCTACTCTCCTCGGCGGGAATTTCACGTCCTGGCGCATCCAAGGCAATGCAGGAGGCGAAGCCAACATCGATCCCGTCCGAGGACCCATGAACGAAGGAGGTCTCTATGGAGAACGTCTTGGCTGGCATCTCCCCGGATACAAAGCGTCCAAGACAGCAACATCCGACAGTCCTTTGGACGGGGTGTCTAGTGCAGCAGGCCGATTCTACACGACAACCTTCAAGCTCGACGTGGACTCCGACCTGGACGTTCCGATTGGTCTGCAGGTCGGTGCATCTGATTTCCCCGCAGTTGTTCAGATCTTCATGAATGGGTACCAGTTCGGTCATTACCTGCCTCACATCGGTCCTCAGACTAGGTTCCCTTTCCCGCCCGGGGTGATCAACAACAGGGGGGAGAATACTTTGGCGATTAGTCTGTGGGCGCTGACGGAGCAGGGGGCGAGACTGAGTCAGGTGGATCTGGTTGCATATGGGGCTTATCGCACTGGATTTGATTTCAATCACGATTGGTCCTACTTACAGCCACAATACAAGAACAACCGGGGCCAATATGTTTAGTTGATAAATGTGTTTGGATTTGAGATTGTCTGTTGGGTTGGAATGCTTCTTGTGGGTCTAGATCGAAGTAGTTCTTTGTCTCGATTTAGTACTCCGTACCTGTTTCATCGTCGCTTTATATGGATCCCCCTAGTTACTTCCTTGTTATTTTTTGTTAGTTCTATAATACTAAAGTACTTGAAGTACTAAGAAGTTCAAAACACAAACACTCAGCCAGACCCCCGTCAATTTCTTTAGAAAATGTATACAAAAGGACCTTAGACCAGATACTTAGGAAACATCCCTCTCTACTATATATAGTCTACTCTTTCAAGGCACCCAAACACCGAGACATAAAAGTCACCAAATAAATCCTCATAACCAATGACAATTAAATAAAATATAACTCCTAAAAAACAAAAAAACAAAAAAAAATTCATTGTCCAGGCGACTATCGGCCAAAACGCGATGTCTGCCCAACCTCCACGTCCACGTCCACCGCCATTTGTACTTCTCCACACGTTTAAACACGTCCCATCCTTCTCATTTCTAAACATTCTATTCTTCTTTGTTTATATTTACTTATATTCCATAATTCATAATCATGTCGCGCCATAACAGCGTGGACCTAGACTCCCCCGACCGACCTTTCGACAACATCATCAATTTCCGCGATGTCGGCCGGTCGGTTAACCAATTTTGTCGCAAAGAGTGAGTTAAGACGCGTCTTTAAAGAGATAATATGCAATGTCTCTCTACAACATAAATACAAAAGAACTAACAATTCCACCTAGAATCTTGAAAGAAGGCGTGTTCTTCCGCAGTGCGAGGGTAATTCTAACCCCGCTCAAAAATGACTCCGATGCATCTATGCGTTGTCCGAGTAAGCAACGAAAAGACACGAACAAAAAACTAATTCGAAATTTCGAAATTTCTATAGCTCGATGATGCCTCAGAACGAGATATACGTCGTTTAACAGAAGAACTACAAATCCACACCGTCATTGATCTCCGTTCCCAGTATGTCGAAACAAGAAAAAAAATCACCAAATAAAAGGCGCAACAACTAATACCAAACAAAGAACAGAACACCAAATGGGTACGCGCAAACGTCGAGGCGAAAATGCCAAATCAGATTCGGAAAAATCACCATCACCATCACAATCACCATCGCCATCACCAAGAGATCCAATCCCAACAAACCCCGACGAACACCTCCTCCAAATCCCCGGCTCAAAACGAGCTCTAATAAGCCTAACAGGCAAAGGCTTCGAACGCGCCTTGTTATCAAAACTGGACTGGTTTACATATCTGTAACGTGCCCTGCCCTCCCTACCCTTCCCTTCCCTTCCCTTCCCTTCCCTATACCATCCACACATACACAACACAATACTAATACAACCACAGCAAAGCAATCGGCCTCGTAACAACCGGCTACCGCAGCGACGCAGTGCGTCTAGTATGCGAGTCTGTAATGCAACCGCGCGGCCTAACGGGGCTAGCGCAAGACACGCTGGATTCAAGCATGGGCGAGATCCGATCTGTATTTGAGATCCTGGCGTGCGAGGAATCATATCCGACATTAGTGCATTGTACGCAGGGAAAAGATCGCACGGGGTTGGTCGTGTTGCTTATGTTACTGCTTGTTGGTGGGGTGTCTGTTGATGCGATTGTTGATGATTACAGTCGCTCGGAGATGGAGCTTGTGTCGGAGTTTGAGGAGAGGATGGAGGAGATTAGGGCTATTGGGCTTGGGGTGGATTATACGCGGTGTCCGACCGGGTTTGTGGGTGATACTACTGAGTACCTTGAGACGAGGTATGGGGGTGTTAGGGGGTATTTGGAGAGGGTTGGGGTTGGGTTTGAGATGCAGGAGAGGGTTAGGGCGAAGTTTTTGGTTTGATTTTCTTTTTTCGGGGGGTCTGGGTTGGGGGTTTTGGGATTTGCATTTGGATATATGGTTTGGTTGGCTTTTTGTATTTGATATGGGATATGTAGATACGATAATGACCTTGGCATTGGGATGGGTCTAGCGTTTCTTATGGGCATTTGGAATGCGAGATAATCAACCTTGGAATGATTGAGTGACAGACTGACAAAAGGAATGGTATGAATGTTAGGTTATTGAATTCCGGTCTATATATGTAAGAAGTAAATATTCCAAGGTCAATATACTGGCTCTAACGGTGCATGCCCAACTTCCCAGAAAACACCATATATAAGAGTATCGAATGACATCGTGCACGTCATATAAGTAAATATACAAGAAGATAAAATAATCACAAGAGAATTAGTTAGACCCGCTGGCCACGGTAAAAGCCGGTGGTCGGGCCCATGGAGTCCTGGGTCAGCGGCTCTTCAATCGAGACACCCTCTTCACGGGTTCCACTGAATCCGCCCTGGCTCATCAGGTACTTCTCACCCTGCGGCACGTGGTTTCGGGTGCGCACGGAAGGCAATAGATCGACGACGAAGGAGATAACGTAACCGGTGAAGGCAAAAGCAATCGTCCACTCGAGAACCGCGCCAGGGTTTTGCTTAGAGGACTCATTGCTACCGATGCAGACACCGAAGCCGATGGCGAGCGCGAGCTCGACAATAACGAAGACAAGCTTGATAAAGAAACTGGCGAGCAAGACGCGGTGCTCGCGACGATAGAAGATTCCGATACGGAGGTACTCGATACAAACCAAGATGGCACTAGCGACGTATCCACCACTGGAGAGAAAATTGATTGGTCAGTTGGCTGTTGACTGCATAATTCCAAGAGTGGGCATGACTCACATGAACAGGCCGATGAACCCATCGTGCAATTTCGGGTGGCGGAGTGTATCAAAGACAGAGAGCAGAATCAGACCGGCAGCACCGGCAATCGCAAAGAAGATTGAAAGAATAGCGCATGTCTTGTCCAATCTACCTTTGTTCGAGGCCAACTGGTTGGAGTGTCGAAGCCAGCGCTCGGAGAGGAAAGCTAAATCGAGAAAGACGACGGTGACCGCGCTGCCAGCAACGAATAGCGGCTTCAAGCCTTGCGCTCCGACATCTGAAATGTACCTATGACAATCCTGTTAGCGCATGGATCGGCGAATGGCGGAGAAGAAGAAAACATACGCAATAGTCTGTCCGTCATCCATACTGTCGTAGTGTGGTCTCCCATCTTGAACCCATGTGACCAGCATGGCAATCAACATTGCTAAGACCCTGTTAGCTGCAGCCCCAAACAAGATATCCATTTCCGTGCAGGGATGCCTTACCAACCCACATGCAGGCCGACACCAATGGAAATATCCAAAACGATATAATCCACATCTTTGCGAGTATTTGAGTTGTATTTCAAGTATTTCGAGGTCAATTCCGATGTAATGGAGGTATATGAGGGTTTTTGTATGTCCGCTAAAGGTCCAATTTAAAAGACAGTGGAGGATTGAAAGTACAGCAATGCGCACGTGAGCCTATATGATCCCGTCAGTCGCAGCTTCTTCAATATCGGGGATTCCATGTAGCATAGAAAGAAGGTATGGATTCAAGGTATGATTCCTCAATCGTGCAACTCACCTATATCCCTGTATTTATTTACGACGTATTCACAGGAATACAGCATTCCAGGTTCAAAACGATCAATCTCAAAGGGGGCGACTGTGGCGCTTGGATGACAAAAAGGGATGTCAAATTGGAACCGGGATAACGATGATGCGCAAGGGGATCGATATATATATATATATGATATACGGAGTATATATATATTATATATATTTGGTATACTCCGTACCCAGTGGGTTATTAGACGACACTTGGAATGAGAAGCAGAAAAGAAAGAAATATCAATTTAGACGCCCCTATGAAGATTACCAAAGCGACGTCATTTCCAGGACTGCCAAGGCAGAAAAATTGTGCGCCCCCACAGCCTAGTCCCAGCTGATCAGCCTCAATAATTACTCTAATGGGTGTGTACTTGTAGTCTTGTAGTTATATTAGCGTACCTCTGGTACAGAATACTATTAATATTGACAATCACTCAAAGTCATAACATGAATGCCTATTCCAAGGTTATCCTATGATCTGCGGATACACCGGGTGGCTGAATACTTGGCGAAATGGACGCTGACAGAATACACAGTACATCCATCCATAGTATAGTTATGGATATGACTTTCAGTCATGTTGCATCGGTCCACTTATATACTATTAAACTTCAATATAGTCCAAGCCCTACAAAGATCTACGGACAATGTACATCAAGGCCAAAAAAAAAGTGGAAGGGTAATAATATGCTTGCCCAAGACCGGTCTACCTAAAAACGCCGTCGCGGTACGGAAAGACCGCAATGATGGAATCAAAAACAGTAAAGCAGAAAAGAAAGAAAAAAAATCTCCAGATCGAAAGTAATTTTAGATAGGGCAACGTTGAGAGACACGTCATCCTCATCGACTGGTCCGTTTACGAGTGGTTCCAGTGACCGGCCGTCTCTGCGCAACGGTAACTGGCGGAGCCTTGCGCTCAGCCACCTTGGCCACCTTGACAATTTGCACTTCATCCTCGCTGCTCTCCGCTTCTTCGCTGGATTCCTCCGACCCCAACTTGGATGGAGCTAGAGTTGGAGCTGCAGCTAGGTCGCCCGGAGTCGGTGCTGTGCCTGGTGGACGTTTGCCCGGAGATTGAGACTGATAAGCCGGGTATGGAAGACTTGATGGATAACTCATTCGATTCTGCTGTCCAACTCGGAGATCGGTGGGAACCTGCGGTTGGTATGGTGCGGGTTCCCCGTATGGGCTCATCTGCATGGTATTGTAGTAGGGTGGGGCCCATTGAGGATCGTCTGGCAGTGGCCGTTGGAAAACAGGCGCTTGTTGCATCGACTGTGGTCGGCCATTAGGGGTAAAGCGCTCGGGAGTGTATGGTGGGTAGGGAGGTCGAAGAGGTGAATTGGACTGCTGGGGCCGAAGAGATTGTGTTGTTGGGGTCCGGGGACGAGTGGAAGATGAGCTGGACGGCCGGCTATTAGCCGTCCCTCGAGCCCAGGTGCTGTGTGCATCAGGCGCAAAGGTCGGATATGCGCCAGGCAGCTGGTCTGGTGCAACAACTGCGCTCCGTCGAGATGATGGACGCGACGTCACATTGACAGAAGTGGCGGACGGGCGCCGGCTTCTGCTTGTACTGTCCGTTTGCTGGCGCTTGCGCTCCAAGGCCTCCAGTTCGCGTTTTGACAACCGGACGTTTTTCTTTCCCAGAGCTTGAGCACGGCGAATCCGCTCGAGCGCTGTGTCCACCAATTGATCTTCCTTGTCCCGCATGGCCAACTGCATCGCATAGGCCACCGTGCTATCCCCATGGTCGTATAGATCGTATTCTCCTCCCTCAACTGATTCAGATTCATCCGTCAAGTCCTCATAATCCACAGGTCGCCTCCGCGGCCCTCGCCCTCCATGCTCCTGCCTGTATCGACCGCTCCGCACCAGCTCCCGCCCGTATACATCCTCTTCACTATCCACCTCCTCCAGCCGTGTCTCCTCCCAAGCCGCGCGTCCCCTAGTATTTCTCCCCGTTCGTGCCCCCGGTGGTCTTCCCCATGAGGGCATATCAAAAGGAGCTCGCGGCCGACCACCTAGACCGCCTCCTCGGAAAAAGCATTCTCGATCGGCTTATCCAAAAACGCAGCATGGCCGAAAACGGTCACGCCAGTAGCGCCAATCAACCACAGGGCAGTCGTGAGGGGGAAGCCCAGATGCCAATGGGGACACCGACGATGAGTAGTCCGGTGTAGAGCTGGGAAGTGGTGAAGCGAGAGAAGCCCAGATCCAGATCCCGACCTTGCAGCATGTTGATTCCGTAGAGACCACAGCTCACAAAGACCATGTCGAACAGCAGCACCAAGTTGGTCAGCAAGCTGTAAATGCTGAGCATCACAAAGACGACGGCATAGTTGCTAGAGAAGTAGGACAGGTTGTAATTGACACGACTTTGGGCTTCACCGAAGTTGGCGGGCTTGGAAAGGCGCTTGACATCGAGGAACTCGGAAATTGGGCGCAGGTTGGCGAAGCGTGTACTCAACGAGGTGCTGCGGAGGTTGTTGAAGCGATCACCGAAACGTGAAGTGATCGCATCAATTGGAATAGAGACCATTTTGAATGAGAAAGAGGTTGAGAAGGGGGAAAAAGAATAAAAAAGGTTGAAAATAAGATAGGTAATAAAGTGATAGAGTGGACAAAGTGGATAGAGAGAGAGGAAAGAGAGTCAGAGAGCCGGAAACAACACGTCGGAGAGACAGTCACTTTTTTTTTCTGGGCCTTTTCCCCTTTCGACTTTTGTTTTTAGTCAGAACACGGTTGTTTCACTTAAGTCAAATATCAAGTAATATAAAATGAATAAAGGTGAATAAGATGAAATAGGTAGAAACAATAGACCCCTAAGAATAGTAACGGGTCCCTTGAGGTCATCCAGTCCCTGGGCTCCCTTGGGAGTCCTTCAGGCTGAAGAAGGAACAGAAGAAGAGTAATCCAAACTATAGAAATCTAGATACCTCTCTCTCTCTCTCTCTATATATACCTACGAATACGCTCAGATGCAATAATTCATGCAGAGCCCAACTATATTTCTCTCCAAAAGAAAATAAAAATAAAAAAAAATAAAAAAAAGGATGAAACGGTAGAAAAACAATCAAAACAGTAAAAACACCCAAATCGATTGGGGCCACGTTTGGTTCTTGGGGATTAACGCCCGACCGCTTTTTTCCCTCCATGTCCTCCACTAACAGACAGCCTATTCGTTCATTTCTATACTTCTCTTGTTTCTGGCTTCTGCGGCATTGACCGCTATCACCATGAAGTCATTTGCCTTTTTATCTCTCTTCGTCTTCTTCGGCCTTGTTGCTGCTTGGTCCAAGGAAGGTGGGTATATTCTTTACCCCGGAGAAAACTCCCTATACTGACCTCTGACCTCAAAACAAGACTATGAGATTTTTGGGCTACAAAATGATGTGGCCACAAATGAAGGCGCCAATGTGACTTTCTACGGTATGTGATGTCTTGCGAACATTGCCATTGACTTTCATTTTCTTTTCGTTTCATCTTTATTTTCATCATCATTCAGGAATGCGTATCTAACTTCTATACCCAATCTGCAGACCTCCTCGAGATCCGTCCCAATGCCAATCAGGAACAAATCACCAAGGCCTACCGCAAGAAGTCGAGAACCATTCACCCAGACAAGGTCAAACGCGCCTTCATCGCCAACTACGCCAAGGACAAGAGCAAGGCCAAGTCTAACCAGGGGGTCAATGTCAACAAGGGACCTACTCAGCGCGAGATTGACGCCGCAGTTAAGAACGCCGACGCCCGCTCTGCCCGTCTGAACCTCGTCGCCAACGTCCTGCGCGGCCCTAACCGCCAGCGTTACGACCACTTCCTCAAGAATGGCTTCCCCCTGTGGAAGGGTACCGGATACTACTACTCGCGCTTCCGTCCCGGTCTGGGCTCCGTGCTGGCGGGTCTGTTCCTAGTTTTCGGTGGTGGTGCTCACTACGCCGCGCTAGTCCTTAGCTGGAAGCGCCAGCGCGAGTTTGTAGATCGCTACATTCGCCAGGCCCGCAGAGCCGCCTGGGGCGATGAAATGGCTGTTCCTGGAATCGACTCGGTCGCCGCCCCGCCTCCCCCTACCGCCCCTGAATCCGATGACACCGGTGCTGTGGCGGTCAACCGTCGCCAGAAGCGCATGATGGATAAGGAGAACAAGAAGGATAAGAAGGGAGGTGGTGCCCGTGTGAGCGCTCGTGCTTCCTCTGGTACCTCTACCCCCACCGAGCAGGTTGCTAGCACTGGCGAGCGTAAGCGTGTCGTTGCTGAGAATGGAAAGACCCTGATTGTCGATTCTATTGGCAATGTCTTCTTGGAAGAGCAGAACGAGGCTGGCGAGCGCCAGGAGTTCCTGCTAGACATTGATCAGATTGAACGCCCCTCTATCCGTGAGACAATGGTGTTCAAGCTTCCCATCTGGTGCTTCAGCAAGACTGTTGGTCGCGTGTTGGGATCTTCCGCTGAGGAGGAAGTGGATTCTGATGAGGCCGAGGAGCTGGTTGAGGAAGCTGAGACCACTTCCACCTCCACCTCCACCTCAAACTCTCGCTCTCGGAAGCGTAACAAGCGCTCCCAGCGATCATAGATTTGGACAGTTGTATTGCTGCACCTTGGGGGCGTTGGCCATTGCTTTCTCTGCCCGCGGCTGACCACGAAGGTTTCCCAAGGCTGTTTTACTATAGAATTCCTGCTCGGATTTACCCAAGTAGAAACCAAAATGTACACATAATTTTTTTTTTTTTCCTTATATCCAAAAATCCAGGGCAGAATGACGCTGGTCAGCTACTGACCATTGATATGCCATGTACGGTCAAACGTTACAGTACGATATTTTACTCCTTGCATATCCACCTCATATCTGTGGTACTACGAGTATCCCCGCAAAGATCGGTCTACCGGCAGGATTCGTACTCTCTAGTTACTCCATATGTTTGGCAGGTTTATAGGCGGGTCTGCCAGAGGGCCAGTGCACTTCCCCAACTGCAGGCGTAACTAGTGCGGTGTACAGCTGTCCGATACCACCATACCCACTGGCTTGGGTACCAACACTTGACTAGTTTAGTATAAATACATATGTAGGAGACTTCAATCTATCTCTAGACTTGTTTTGCATTTTCGGGGGTTTCATTGCCGATACAGACAACAACTTTTCCAAAGAAATCAATTATATCGAACAGACGGGCCTCCCAGTTCATGACAATATCGAAAACGGCGAAGTCCAACGAGCAAAAAGGAATGGGAAGGATAAAAGCAAAAAAAAAGCAAAAAAAGCAACAAAAGGACAGTAGGTGTATATCGTGATCGTCATCTGTTGAATTCAATAAAGCATTGCAAATCGTGGGGGACAAAAGAACCTCAAGCTCCAGAGGTAAAACAGAACAGCCTGTGCCGGACATCGCCTACGCAAACATCTTGGCAATGTTCATGAGACTGCTAATGTTCTCCGACATACCCCTACCACCACCACCACCACCATCACCACCACCACTCGACTTCGCTGCACCACCCAGGGCGCTGGTAACAGCATGCGGCAAGCGAATGCCAATCATAGCCAGCAACTTCGGCAGAACACCGCTAGTAAGGAGCGGCACGATAACCATCATAAAGACCTTCATAGGGTTTTTACGGGCCCAGCGATAGATATCACGGAAGAGACGCTTGATGTCGCGGAGCATGCGCTGGATGAATCCCTGGCGGGGCCGGGCCCGACGCGACGAAGATGAGAACGATGAAAACACAGATGGGCTTGATCGGCCTCCGCCTAGCCCGCCGAAGAAAGATGGCGCTGGGTTTCGCGTATGGTGCGTGGAGGAGTGGCCGGATTTGCTGCGTCTGCTGTGCGTGCTGTGCGAGCTGGGTGTTGGGGATGACCGACGCCGCGTGTATCCTGACGACGAAACTGTGCTGGATTTACCGTCGAACCAACCCATTGTGCTGGTGATGCTGATGCTGACTGATGCAGATTGATGCTGAGGCTGAGGCTGGTTACGGGTGCGGGTTTTCACACTTTGGGTCAGACCGGTGAATGATAGGTCTGGTCTGGAGGACGGGTTGTGTGTTAGGAGAGAGATTGGATTGTGGTAGGTTGGTACACAGAGGAAGGTGGGTTTGAGATGGCTGTTGCGTAACAATGCCCCTGATTATCTCTTTGAACCTTTTTTTTGGCTTTCTGTGTGGCAGCTGAAAGAATGAAAAGAGACAAGATGCAAGTCAGCCACTAGCTGCTGCGGATATGCGCAATCTGAGGTCTAGGCTGATGTGTCCACCCGCTTTTGCGGATTTTCTATGCAGGAAATCTCTTTTGACAGCTGGCACAATTGAGATTCTAAGAAGGGGTCGTGGATAATACTGGATGCTAATTTCGGATGAATCAAAGGAGATCTTCAGATGAGAGTGATCAGTCACCCCCTGGCGGAATAAAGGTGGCTGGGGTGTTTGACCGGCTAAACTTAGTCGTAAACCGCATTTTGTGGTAGGCAAATTACCCCGGATGGTCAAGCAATCCACTCTCGAGTGATAGATATAATAATCATCTCCAAATCATACTGGAATATGTATTCTGTATTCTGTATGTCCATCGATGTAGTTTGTTGATTAAAAAGATCAAATATCAAAACAGTTGAACCGTGGAACCTAATGGGGACCCATGCCTTAGGCGACAACGACGTCACTACATGTGATAGCCCTGGAGCCTGCCATAGAAGACTCTCCAAGTTCTTCTTCGAGTCTATCATTAGTCTATCATTAGTCTTAACATAATATATTCTTTCTTGCTAAACCCCAGATCAAGGTGTGACCATGTCGAGTATGTTGACTTCACTTCCTCTTACCGAAATCCATACTAACTCTTGACCAGGCCCCGATTACTGTAAGACCTCTCCCAATGGCCCAACCGATACCGTTCCAACTAACATGTACCAGACAAGTCTCTAGGCATTGCCCAAGATGCCACCCAGCAACAGATACGCACCGCATATAAGAGGTGAGTGCACCACAACTCTCCTTGAAATAACTCTCTAACCAAGTCTAGGGAATCACTGAAATCCCACCCTGATCGAGTCCCCATCGGCTCTCCAGAGCGACCCTCACGCACAAGGAAATTCCAAGAAATTAACGACGCCTACTACACCCTATCTGACCCTGCGCGCCGCCGGGAATATGACGCTACTCGCGCATACCAAGCAGCCGAAGAGGAAGCGGAAGCGGAAGTCCCACCAACCGGCGCTGGTGGTTTCCCCTGGTCCAGCTTTGGGTTCGGCGGAAACCGTGATGACCGCGACAACGGCCAGTTCGGCTCCGTCTTTGAAGAGATGCTGCGTGAAGAGGGTCTCGCCGAAGAGAACGAGGGAGAAGGCGGGAGGCGGACTCGCCCAACCGGAAGATTCTGGGCACTGGTCGGAGGTGTCAGTGGTGGTGCCATGGGCTTCATTGTTGGCAATTTGCCTGGTGCGCTGGCTGGTGCTGTTGCGGGTAATCGTCTCGGCGCCGTCCGCGATGCTAAGGGAAAAAGTGTCTATGAGGTTTTCTTGGACCTTCCAGCGCAGGATCGGACGCGACTCCTGAGTGAACTTGCGGCGAAGGTCTTCCAGTCTACTATGGGACGCTGAGTTTCTCTATTTCTGGTTTGCTGAGCAGTTTTGGTGTTAGGGATTTTGGAGCTGGCTCTTACAGCCTCGGTGGGAATTGGGTTGGGTTGCATATTCCGGCTGTACATGTCTACGTGACTGTGTACCACTTAGTACAGTATGAAATGCATATCTCAGGTATATATCAAGTAGTTAAGATAATTTTCGAGTGCACATGCTGAACTTGTTCTGATCTGATAAATAACCCCTCGGTTTCTTATCGATAACAGCCAGGCACCACTAGATGTGCTGCGCAACATAGCACAGTCCAGAATGGCAACATATACAAGGTTAATTATATCATGATCCTAATGAGTCATTAGATCTAATAAACATCTTCTCTAAAAACAAACAAAACAGACCAGGTGGCCTTCTCTCTGCTTCTGGGCCCAATGGCCTTGCGCTAAGCTCCCGCCTTCACTCACCGCTTGCGGCCAAAATGAGCCCCTCTGTCTATATTTACCCCCAAGTTGCCCGCAATTTTTATCTTTGACAAATTCTTATTGAGACTCAATTGAATAAATCCTTCAAAATGACTGAAGCTGCCAGTGTTTACCCTTCGTTGGAGAACCGTCCCATCAAGAACACGGTTGTTCTGTTCGATGTTGACGAGACTCTCACCCCCGCAAGACGGGTAGGTTGCGACGAGACTCACTGCTGTTCAATTGTACTAATCTATTTCCCTTACAGCATGCCTCGCCAGAGATGCTCGAGTTGCTCTCTCGATTGCGCCACAAGTGCGCTATTGGATTCGTTCGTCTCCTCCCAGTCAATACACCCACCCCGTTCCTAACATGATTCAGGTTGGCGGCTCGAACCTTGTGAAGCAGCAAGAGCAGCTTGGATCATCCACCATCGATGTTACTACTATGTTCGATTTCTGCTTCTCCGAAAACGGTCTGACCGCATTCCGCCTCGGCGAGTCGCTTGCCAGCAACAACTTCATTCAGTGGCTTGGAGAGGACAAGTACCAAGCGCTGGTCGACTTCGTTCTTAAGTTTATTGCCAACACCAAGCTACCTCGCAAGCGCGGTACTTTTGTTGAATTCCGGAATGGAATGGTCAACATTAGCCCCGTTGGACGTGCTGCTAGCATCGAGGAGCGTGATGAGTTCGAAGCGTACGTGTTGATCTTGTATTACCATGTCCACATAAATGGACTGGCTGACTGACATGCGCTATAGCTTTGACAAGATCCACAACATCAGAAAGACCCTGGTGGAGTCCTTGAAGAAGGAGTTCCCCGACTACGGTCTCACGTAAGTCTTTATCTGGCGAGGTTTACTTTTGATATGTTGCTAATCAATCTGCCAACACAGCTACTCTATTGGTGGTCAAATCTCTTTCGATGTCTTCCCCACTGGTTGGGACAAGACCTACTGCCTGCAGCACATCGAGGCTGAAAAGGGCATCTCGGGTATCGAATACAAGACCATCCACTTCTTCGGCGACAAGACTTTCGTCGGAGGAAACGATTATGAGATTTACGAAGACCCTCGCACCATTGGACACTCTGTTGATGGTCCTGAAGATACCATCGAGCAGCTGAAAAAGCTGTTTGACTTGTAGATATGAGGTTGGATTTGAGTGTCAGGTAGCCGAAAGGGCATGGATTTGTGATAGCGTTTACATGCGAACACTGATTTGGATATTTTCTGAAAACAATTTTAGTCAAAGATCGACCAAAATAATCCTCTAATTGCATGAAATGAGAATTTACCCAACTCTACAATAACCCCGGGGCCTCTCTAGATAATGCGGGTAATGTGGGCACCGTCGGGAAACTGAAAGCGTCGATCTTTCCGATCCCCTTTAGTCATCCTGACCATTTCAGGCCCCGGGATATTCCAAGCTTTCTCTTCCGCGTCACTCTTAATCGGGTTCAAGTGCACTTGATAAATTATTCCTTTGCCCGCTGTCCTTGACATGGCGCCTCAAAAACATGTCGCGGATGTCCCGCGCAATATCCTTCCCCGCCTGACTTGGAACAGCTCTTCTTCACGTCCTTCCGTTACCGTCACCCACCATCCCGCGCTTGCAACAAGTCAAAGACGACCACTTCCCCAAGCCTGGAGTCCCGTAAAGCGACGGTTCAGTTCACTATCCCCACCCTCCCAGTCTTCCCAGCTCATCTCCACATCATCCCGGGATGCTATCTCCGGATATCTCGTTTCCCGAGGAACCTCTATAATCACACCGGCAACGTCGAACACAACCCCCCCGCGGAAATCCGATCCGACACAATGGCGTCTATGTGGCTACATACCATCCCGCTCGTCGCGCCTTTCATGCGACACCAGTCCGGCCCCGCGATCACCACTTTGATACCCTGAAATTCGTGAAGCGCCTACAAGCGGAGGGCTTCAGCGAGGAGCAGTCCGTAGCAATGATGCGGGTATTGAACGATATCATTCAAGAGTCAATCCAGAATCTGACCAGGACAATGGTCCTCCGAGAAGGTATGTGAATGCGTCTTCTATCGCGCATCCGTGCTTTATAATGCTCGTCGGAGATCTAACGGGAAACACGTTGCTAGACTCGGAGAGATCAACCTATACACAAAAAGTGGACTTTGCGAAATTGCGCTCCGAACTACTTAATGCGGACTCGACTGAGGCACAGTTGACCCGTTCATCACACGAGAAGATCGCAGCAGACCTCGCCAAACTCAACTCACGACTTCGGGATGAGATTGGACGAACACAAGCCTCGGTCCGGTTGGATTTGAACCTTGAGAAGGGTCGGATACGCGAGGAGGCCAATAGCCAAGAAATGCGTATCAAGGAGACTGAAACGCGAATTGAGCAGGAGGTTGCTGGATTACGGGAACGAGTGGAGGCTGTCAAGTTCTCGACGTTGCAGTGGCTTATGTATGATCCCCCAAGGCTTTTCTTGATGCGCGAGCGTATACTGACTTTCTTTTCTCTACAGGGGTGTCTGTACCGGTACCGCGGCTCTTATTCTTGGTGCCTGGCGCTTGTTCATGTAAATTGGGATAAAATTCTGCATTGCATATGGAGTGATTGTTTTTGGCTTGCTTTACATGAGACATTAGATCTCTCACAAACTTCTCTGTATTTTTTGTACACTATACTCTCTACTCGTCTAGCCGTGTTATGCTGCCATATGGGTTTAGACAATACCAAGCATTTCTTGGTCAATATCAATGGAAACCATTGGATAATTCGAAAAGTCCGGGCATATTTAGCGTACACTAGCTGGGGGTAGGTATGTTGTAGGGCTTGCATCGGAAGTCCGTCGCACCTTCCCCTCTTTATGTACCTGGCCACTTTCAAGGTTACATACATGTGTCTGTAGCCTTTAACCACCCGTCTTTGACAGAATACAATATCCTAACTGGTCCAGGATAAAATGCTAGTGCAATCCCCCATGGAGTACTTTACCTGGCTAGCGGCATGGTTGTTATATATTCTTCTCCTCGGCCTTGTGATCACATTTTGCAATGTTTTATATTCGTATCGCAGGCCTTGGGATCAATCCTCAGTGTGGGCGCTTAATCAAGAGCCACCGAACCCCCAAGAGACGTACGCTGCGAACACTGTTTGGTCTATTGATAATTGCGATTTGAACCCGAAGGCGAACGACACTCGCAACAAGCTGAGAAGAGCCAACCAAAGCTTCGAACTACTCGTGATTATGGTTTTGATCGCCATATCTGGATTGTTGCTTTGGGGGCACCTGCCATCAGCTTCTTCCCTCCAAAGCGGATTGCGGCCTATTGCTGGCTTCTCATCCCAGACACCTAGCTCAACTGGTTTGCAAGAGTTTTTCCAGCTCTATCAGCCAATATCGCTGAATTCCAGTGAAAAGAACAGCTGCGATGTCGAGCTATTGCTCATGGATCATGTTTTTGGCGCTAGTTATGGAGCACCGTTTGTTGGTAAGAGGTCTCGAAGGTTGCTTCTACCGGTGGTCTAATGTTGCAATTTATCTAGGCGAATATGAGCCCCCAAACTGTGAATTTGATACTGTACGAATGAATCTCACAGTCATCTCCCGGGGAAGACAGTTTGACCGCCTGGCTCTCATGTATCTTGGAGACAACGAAGTGTTCCGGACCTCAACGGCAGAGCCAACAGCCAATGGGATTGCCTGGACCTATATCAAAGAGATGTCGCAGTATAACTCGCTATGGAATAGTCCCCAGAAGCTGATATTTGACTTGGGGAATATAATTAACGATGTCTATACCGGCTCCTTCAATGCCACGCTAACGGCACGCTTCTCTGGCGGGCATAAGATCAAGACCGCGGATATCATTCTTCCAATTTCTGCCAGAAATTCAGCATCAAACTCTTCGAGTGCCTTCCAACTCCCCACAGACAACACAACAGTTATGTACGAGATCCCAGCTGCGGCATCCCGTGCTGTCGTGTCGATATCAGCATGTGGACAATCAGAGGAAGAGTTCTGGTGGTCTAACGTCTTCTCGGATGATACCCAAGACTTTGAAAGTACTGTCGGTGGGCTATATGGGTATACTCCTTTCCGTGAAGTCCAGCTCTATATTGATGGGATTCTTGCCGGGCTTGTCTGGCCATTCCCTATTATTTTCACGGGAGGCGTGACTCCAGGATTCTGGCGTCCGGTCGTTGGGACTGACGCATTTGACCTTCGCCAGCCGGAGATTGATATTTCCCCATTTCTCTCTATGGTTCAAGACGGGAAGCAGCATTCATTTGAGATCCGTGTGACTGGTCTTAATGTCTCGGTAGATGGGAACGTCACTTTCGCAAACACTGTGGGCTCATATTGGGTTGTCACAGGAAATATTTTCATATATATCGATGACGACAGCCCTGCCTCTAAAGCCACTGTTACTGGTGACAATAGTCGGCCCACGGTGGATGCTCCCTTGCCAGTGCTTGCTGTGACTCGGAATCTTATACAAAATACGACCGGGGGAAACGACTCCTTGTCATACTCTGTGGTTGTCGAGCGAGTATTCAGCGTAACCTCTTCTCTGTACTCATGGTCTCAGGCACTATCATTCTCCAACCACGGTTTCCTCAACCAGCAGGGATACAGTCAAGTCAACACACAACTTACAACTGGCAAGAACACTATAACCGAGCTTGGGGACACACCCATCTCAAACAGCATTGCATTCCAATACCCCTTGGTTGTCAACGCAACTTATGGGATCACCTCGAATGGGACGACGATCGACTCTTGGATGAAGAGAGGTCTCGATTTCGAGGCAACAGGGGGGCTCGGTATCTCCACTTATACCTTGACATCGGGGCCATCATACCTACACACAAGTCAGTCTGGCACGGCGCAGTATAAATCTATCACCGGAGGAAAGTCAGACACTTGGGGCGACACCATCAATGTGTTCGACAGTCAGACGAATGGACGACCATACCACCGATCTGTCCATGCTGTCAATGGTACCGTTGTTTCTGACACTGACCGTAATGGAAAGACATCGGCTTCTTCTCCACAAGATCATGGGGATACTGGGAGAGGTAGTGTGAGGGCTATAATTGGAAAGGGACCTGGAGTATTGTGAACTAGGGAGGATAACATAATAGGAAGAGTTCCAATATTCCGTTTGGGACATGGAGGTGGGATACAACGCGTCATGATAGAGGAGGGCTAATAGCGTAGGAAATCCAAGAATTGCTTTTATACAAATATGACTAAATTGGAAATGAGACAGGGTCGTAGACCATCACTTACCTTTGTTTCGACACTTCAGTCTCATTTGGCATCGAGGATAAAAAGCAATCTGGACTGCTCGTCGTTGGTGCCCCAACAAATTTGGGTCCTTATTTTCCTTCTTCTCATATTCTGCAGGCTCCTCCATATTCCCTCCCTTCACGTCCCCTTTACCTCCAAGCTCTCTTCAACTTGCCCTTGCAATGGAGCTTACTTCTTACAGCGTCGAGGGTACTGATCGGTTTGTCCACCGATTAGGGGAGTAAGTTCTCGGTCTACACATTGTATGAATGAGATGACTGACTAGAGACAGGATTTACCCCACAGGCACCTTCTCCGACCTCACCATTTACACCACAGACCAAGCCCTGAAGGTACACAGACTCATAGTCTGCAGCCGATCTGAGGCTTTCCGCCGAATCTTCTCTAATGCGCGTGCAAGTCTCCCCAGAGCCCAGGTCCTTAATTATTCACGAACTCAGCTGATGTTGATGGTTGCAGGGAATTAAAGAGGCCCATACACTCGAAATCAAGGATGAGCATCCACGTGTCGTTGAAGCCATGATAAACTCTTTCTACGGACTACATTACGACATCAACCAATTCTCGCCTCGAATGTGCCCCCTGTTGTTTAATGTCCAATTATACGCCATTGCCAACAGATTCGAAGTGGAATATCTCAAAGTTCAAGCAAAATTAACATTCGTCACGCTCGCCCAAGACCACTGGGACAAAGCCGAATTCTTGACTGCTGCTTCTGAGGTGTACAAAACAACACCACAGTCGGACCGAGGTCTCCGGGATGTGGTAGTCGCGGTTTGTCAAAAGTACAGGAGGGAGTTGCGTGAGAAGAAAGAATTCGAGAACCTGGTTCAAGAAACTCCCGGGCTTGCTACCGATATTGTGCTGCTTTCGCACAGGTGGTTGCCTCAGTCTGCGTCTACGAGAGTTCGTCTTGTTCAGTCTTTCTCTTGTCTGTCTTGTTTTGCGAAATGGCAGATCCAGGTGGGGTTGGCTGAGTTCTTTACTACTTGTCCGTTTTGCCATGATGACAAGGTTGGGACTATTTGAGTCTGTCTTGCTGGTAATTTAGGAGATTGTGTCTTTCATGGAGATATTTTGATCATTTTCAATGTTGTATTGGACATTCTTCCAAGGTTACTTCCCTCTTACTTTGTTTAAAATTAGTATGGTCCAAAGTATATATCCACCTGTGACCTAGAACCGTGGAAGCATCCAGATATGTTTACAACTAGAAATACGCTATAAAACTATATACGCTAGCACGCAAAAGGACTATGTACATGTGGTGTTTCAATACGCATACTAGCGACTGCAGTACGCCTAATGAAAGAGCAACCCTTGAAACCTTGGGCAATTAAGACTTTTGATGTGGCCCCGTCGGAGGAGAGATCTTAGCCCCTGAGACTTATTCACGTGTGTATTTTCTCCGCATATTGCGGAAAACACCGGATAAAGCTTCGGGTTTTAGTGTTCTACGTCAACCCTATATCCTACCTAGAGCCATATCTATTTAGCCTTATGCGTGCTAGGGTAAGGCGGGGTTATGATCCACTAGGAGTGTATTAAAAGAAAAAGCCCACAGACTGATTCTACATGGATGGGCCTTTTATTAACTCGAAGGGAGAAAATGTGCAAGAACCATATGGGCTAGAGTATCACCAATTTGTTAGCGACATGCTAGGCAACGGCATCATCCTAATTTACGCTGGTAGAATGAAGTACATATATATACTCTGTAAATACAAATAATGTACTGAAATTTCAGTAACCTATTTGGGTACGGAGTACATATTCCCCATGTTCCTTTAACTAGCCTCCACTTAGTAGGGTAACACCTCACAGTAAATTTGCAGGGATATACGCACTCTTTTCAGGGGTGGTAATTTTGTTATCTTCAACGAATCACCACCGTATTTCAGAGAAGCGCGGGAACAGCGCGTTGTTTGGCCGACGCAGGCAACAAGAAAGAGAATCTTATTTAACCCGTTGAATTGACATCGAAATAGTAGAATTCTTATATAAACTTATTTCTCTTGGCACTGTGCCTGTACCCACCTGGCCAAAGAGCCGCAACCCAATCTGATTCTGTCTGTGCCTGGCATGGAATTGTCAAGATGCGTGAACGACGTTTCCTTTGGTCCTACAGTCGAAGGTTGCCGCGGAAACTTTGACTTTACGCTGAAGTTCGAAAAAATCATCCTCTCGATACTGCCGTCCGCTATTTTTATTGCATTGTCGGTCCCTCGAGGCATTTACCTCGCTCGCAGACCGATAATAGTGGGCGGCGCAACCTTCCAATTTACCAAGATTGTGTGTCTTCATTCGGCCCCTACTGAATACTGAAACATCTTGACTAATATATTTTGGCAACTAAGGCAGCAGGGGCAATCTACACAGTCTTGCAGCTTGCTCTCCTCGTTATCGGCGGCATTGAGCCATCCGAGCTGCGTGGCTTGTCCATCACAGCCGACGTGCTAAGCTTTGTTGCGGCGATAGCTATATCCGCCCTGAGTTCTTTGGAGCATTCCCGCTCACCCCGGCCATCTATCTTGCTCAGCGCCTTTCTCTCCCTGACTGTCCTCTTTGATATTGCACAAGTACGATCCCTCTGGCTGCTGGCCCAGAGCTACAATGAGATTACCTATGTGAGGATATTCGCTGCGGCCATCGTCTGGAAGGCTGTTCTAGTATTGTTGCAATCACTGCATCTCCAGGGCTGGCTCTCCTGGGACTGGAAAACGCATAGCCCCGAAGAAACCACTGGGCTGTATGGACTAGGCAGCTTCTTCTGGCTCACACCTCTCTTCTGGTCAGGATACAAAAAGGTTCTGAATCTACCAGATCTATTTCCACTTGACAATAGTGTCGCTGTGGAGACCCTTCAAGCTTCCTTTGGCCAGTATATCAAGCGCACCGGTTTCCACGGAGACAAAAACGGCTTGACGAAAACACTTCTTCGCGCATTGGCAGTCCCAATCTTGCTGCCAGTGGCTCCTCGAATTGCCCTGATCGGATTTACTCTGTGTCAACCTTTGCTTATCGAGGCCGTCTTGAACTCGCTCGAGGAACCTCAAACCTACTTGACTACCAATAAGGGCTACGGCTTGATTGGTGCTACGATACTGGTCTACATAGGAATGCCACTTGTTACTGCCTTTTATTGGTATCTGCATGAACGAGCCTTATTCATGTCACGAGCACTTTTGGTCTCTGCGATATACGACAAGACGATCAAGGCACAGACTTCGGCCGCGGACGACTCGGCCGCTGTTACGCTTATGAGCAGCGATGTCGAAAGGATCAGGATGGGTCTCATGCAGCTTCACGAGTTCTGGGCAAATCCCATCCAGGTAGCTATCGTGTGTTGGTTACTTCAGCGCCAACTTGGCACGGCATTTGTGGCTCCTGTGGTTGTCGTCCTTATTTGCATCGTCACCTCGACTGTCCTAATGCGTTTTATTGGCCCGAGGCAAATGGCTTGGATGAAAGGCATCCAGAGGCGGGTCGGCCATACAGCGAATGTCATTGGTAATATGAAACACTTGAAGATATCAGGGCTCACCGCTCCTGTTGAAGAGTCAATTCAGAGGCTGCGTCTTGAAGAGTTGAAGGCTGGAGGCCACTTCCGTGCTTTTCTCGTGGGTTCTGTGGGAATTGGATTCACGCCAGTTCTCTTGGGCCCTGTCTTTGCATTCGCTCTCTCATCTCGTGAACTGGATGTTACGACTATCTTCACGTCACTGTCCTATCTCCAGCTTCTCTCAGGACCACTGTCATTGTTATTCCAAGTTCTTCCTCAGTTGCTCGCGGCATTTTCATGTCTATCACGAATTCAGCAGTTCCTTGAGAAAGAGCCTAGGGATGATTTCCGTCAGATTTTGGGAACAGACGCATTGTCTGAGAAAGAGCATTCGAGTGAAGAATTGCCATCGACCGTGGAGATCAAGAACGCAGACTTTGGCTGGGAAAAGGATGTCTTGACTCTGAAGAACATCAATATTTCCATGTCCCAGGGCTTGAATATGGTTATTGGTCCCGTTGCATCCGGGAAGTCGACGTTATGCAAAGCTTTGCTTGGAGAAACCCCAATTGCATCTGGAGAAGTCCTCATACGAACCAAATATCGCAGGATCGGATACTGCGATCAAGTTTCCTTCCTCCCCAACGAAAGTATCAGGGACACCATCATAGGCTTCTCAACTTTTGATGAGGAAAGATATGCCAATGTTATCGAAGCAACAATGCTCTCTCAGGACCTCCCTCTTCTCTCTAAAGGAGACCAAACCAAGATCGGTAGTGATGGACTCGCTCTCAGTGGTGGACAGAAACAGCGAATCTCACTTGCAAGAGCATTGTATCTGCAATGCGACGTGCTCATTCTTGACGATGCCCTTGGTGGGCTAGACTCCAATACAGAAGAACACATTTTCCATAATGTTTTCGGACCCTCAGGCATCCTTAAGACAAGAGACGCAGTTGTGATACTTTGCACAAACGCCATCCGACACCTCCCATCAGCCGATTATATCGTTGCAATTGGAATTAACGGTACCGTCATAGAACAAGGTCGTTTCCCTGATCTTATTACGAATCGCCAATACGTCCATAGCCTCGGAGTCCAGGCTGACGCCAACGCTATATCTCATCGGACAACAACATTACCCAAGATACCACAGTCTGGGATTGAGATTCAAACGAAGTCAACCCAGACAAGCACGACTAACGATAAAGCATCCATTGCAGAAACCGATGGTAAGGAATCGAGCAGAAAACTAGGTGACCTTTCCATCTTCGCACACTACTGCCGGAGCATTGGTACTTTCTGGCTCGTCAGCTTCTTCTTAATTGGTCTTCTTTGCGGATTCTTTTACAACTTCCCTACGATCTGGCTAAGTTATTGGAGCACCGATTCTTTCACTCGATCGAAGTCTTTCTACATTGGTATATACGCCCTTTTCCAATGTCTGGCCTTAACTACAATCATCAGCGAGGCAGCCATCGGCATGCTATTAATCATTCGCAACGCTGGGTCACGTCTACACCAGGCCGCTCTGCGAACAGTTATTTCCGCACCGCTGCGTTTCTTCTCTCAGACAGACACGGGCATCGTTACCAATCTGTTCTCTCAGGATATGACGCTTCTCGATGGCGAGCTTCCACAGGCTTTGATCAATACGTCCCTACAAACCTGGATCGCCGTAGGAGGGGCGGCAGTGGTTGCAACATCATCTCCCTATATTCTCATCACTTATCCCTTCATTGTAGCGATTCTTTACGGTGTTCAAAGATTCTATCTTCGCACATCTCGCCAGCTTCGGCTCTTGGATCTAGAGGCAAAGAGCCCGCTTTAGTATATCTCTCTTGCTACTGTATTGTGGTATCCTTTACTAATATTTAATGTCTCTAGCACGCACTTCTTGGATACGATCAAAGGCGCGGCCACCCTGCGAGCTTTTGGTTGGATAGAGGACTCTGTATCTGTAAACAATGTCCTTTTAGACACCTCGCAACGCCCTGCTTATCAGTTGAGCATGATACAGCGATGGCTGTCCTTTGTGCTCGACATGGTCGTGGCGATTATTGCATTACTAGTGGTCACTCTTACTACTCAGCTTCGTCCCAGTACTGGCTTCACCGGTGCGAGTTTGGTGTCAATCATGACCCTTGGGAAAACTTTGGCTACTCTGGTGCAAATGTATACGTTGCTGGAGACTTCAATTGGGGCCGTTTCCCGCTTAAAGTCCTTTAGCGACAATACTGTTCCGGAAGATCTACCTGGCGAGGATGGTATTCCCCCGGCTGCATGGCCAGTGAGAGGTAGGATCGAAGTCAAAAATATGTCTGCATCATATAGCGGTGCCGAATCAACCGAGAAGTCGGAAGGCTTGGACAATCTTGCACTTCGAGACCTCACATTCACGATTGAAGGGGGGCAGAAAGTAGCGATTTGCGGAAGAACAGGAAGGTAAGTCTGAAATGATCATTGAGCAGATTCCGATATCGGTATGCATTAGTCCTTTTAAAACTGATCGTTACTTTCAACAGCGGTAAATCGTCCATTATTCTCCTCCTACTACGCCTCTTAGACCCACTTCTTCCATGCACTGGCGAACTCACCATTGACGATGTCTCACTCCTGACAATCGACCGCTCCACCCTGCGCCGACGAATTATCGCAGTGCCACAGGATTCAACATTCTTCCCCGATGGCACTCCCTTCCTCAAAAACCTCGACCCATTCAACGTCGCAAACGAGGAGGAGTGCCAGGCGGTACTCGAGATGACAGGGTTATGGTCCTTGGTATCTGAGCGCGGGGGACTCACGGCCGGACTGAGTGCTGATGGGCTTAGCCATGGCCAGAAGCAGCTATTCAACCTGGCAAGGGCGGTTCTGCGTCGGCGTGTTCATGCTCGCTATCTAGATGCCGAGATTGGGGATGCTTACATCAAGTCTCGCACTTCCGCAGCTGAGGCTTCGGGTGATACTGGTGTTCTTATTTTGGACGAGGTCAACCGTGGTGTTGATATGGCGACGCAGAAGACCATGCAGGATATTATACGGTATGAGTTTGCAGGATACACTGTTGTCATGGTTAGCCATGGGCTCGACATGGTTATGGATTTCGATAAGGTTTTTGTGATGGATAAAGGTAGGCTCGTGGAAGAGGGCAAACCGATGCAATTGGTTGATGAGGTGGACAGTCGGTTTAGAGAGCTGTGGATGGTTGGAAAACATTAAGTTCTCTCGGCAGCTGAGTAGTTTGATCAGATCTATATTCTTTGTTCTTAGCCTGTCTCTGCTCTTGTTAAATAGTTTCTTTCTCTTTGCTACATTAATTTTTTCTAACGTTTCAATATTTTTGCTGCTTGTTGTTTTTCTGTTCAAGTCGACGTATAGTCCATAAAAAAGGTCTGAACATCAGCACACCAAAAAGGCCAAAGCGTGTTGGTGCCTCTTGTGCCTGAGGCACGAATCGACTCTAGGTAGGTAGCCAAGGGGTGAGTAAGCTGGTTGGTAAACTTTGGAACCTTCCAAGGAACCTTTCGAAGGTCCACGGGTACAGTGACTGTTCATAAGTTTTAACACCCCCTTTAGCCCCACCCATATACCGCCTTCCCTTATCGCCTATACCGCCTATATGAAATGAACTGGTGGACCTCAACTCTCTTGAGTTCATGTCATATATCTGGATATTTTGGTTTGTTTTCTTAAATGATACCTAGCCTTTTGTAAACAATCATTAAAAGCCATACATTTTGATTTACAATGGTTTCAAATAAAATCTTCTAACCGGCAGAATATTATATAATCACAGTGGTGTGGGGCAGGGGTGTTAACACTTTTGAACAGTCACTGTAGGTTACGTGACAGCGTAATGGGGCGCTAAACCCGTCGGAGTTGCATTTAGCCGACGATAAGGTTGACACCAGCCTTATCTTCCCGTGATAATTACGATAAGATGATAGCCACATCTTTCGGAGTCGCATTCTCTCCTCTTGTCAACTCTCCATTGTGGCGACAGGATAGGCTGTGGTTTTCAAAATGAGCGTGGTTGTGGAAGATATCGTATTACCAGGTATTTAATCGTGTTTGCTGATTGTCTTGACGAAATTGAAGCCCTGACATCCATTCTTATCCTAGACCCGACCCTCGAGTCTCTATACCCCATCTTCCAACAATGCGATGACCGTCCCACCAAGCGGCGCAAGACTACTAAAGGGGGCAAAAGGAGCCTGACGAAAGAAAATGGGGTAACAGCTACGGGAATCCCTCTGGGCTACATTCCATTAGCACGGTTGACAATGCGCATAGTAGGTTGCCACTGGTATCCCGCTTTAGGGCAAAACGACTGATCTATTACCCTCTGCAGAAACCCTCGAATACGAACACGCGCCAATTTACAAGGCCGCACGACCCAACTCTCTCCGCCTCCCGCGTTCCTATACTCCTAGATGTTCGAAGCGTTCATTTTCTCGACGATGATCTGAACAACACGCCACAACCAGACTCGGCCAATGGCGACCCCAATCGTATGGAACTGGAAATATCTAGTCTCGACGAAGAAGAATTGCTGATATATCCGTGCGAGGATCTGCGGCTATTTGATCTCCTTGAGCAACTTCAGGCCGCCAGTAAACTTCCTCACGTGGACCAGTTCTCCAATAATGAGCCTACAGCCTGCTACCAAGCGCACCTGTGTGCCTCGTCAGATGGAGAAACTTTTACTCTCGAGTCGGTTGTTCTTTGGAGCGATTCTATCGAGACCCCAGATTTGAACCGTTTGACGGGAGCAGACCTGGAAGCTTTTACAAGATACGTGCTGCAGGAAAAATGTGTTCGCCCATCGGCATTGACCAAATCACGCGAATATCGTGATAAAATGCTGGGAATACCCCAAGAATGGTCTCCCGGGGAGTTCTACAAGAATGTTCACGTCCCCAAGCTCACAGACAGTTCGACAAATGTCAAATGCCCCAATTTAGAATGCAAGCTATTCCCATTCCAGAGAAGAGCCGTTCGCTGGCTTTTACAAAGAGAAGGAAGAGAGGTCGGGCCAAATGGCGAGATTATGCCTATGGGGGAACTCCCCAAAAGTGACCTTCCAGCTTCTTTCAATTCTACGAAAGATGCTGATGGACGGACCTATTACTTCAGTTATCTTTTCATGATTCTGACAACAGACCTTTCTGGTTGGCACGATGCCGCAGCTAATCTGAAAGGCGGAATACTTGCAGAAGAAATGGGGCTGGGCAAGACAGTCGAAGTGATTGCGTTGATAAGCCTGAATAAGAGAGAATCGCAGCCCATCAAGGCTGATCCTGACGGGTTGAGACCTACTGGCGCCACTTTGATCATTACACCACCCGCGATTCTTGAGCAATGGAAACAACAGTTGAAAGAGCATGCTCCCACTCTCCGTGTTTATCATTACAATGGCATCAAACGTGGGAAAGAAACAACCGACGACGTGATTGTCGAAGAGCTTGCCGAATTCGATGTAGTTCTGACTACTTATAATGTCATCGCGAAAGAAATTCACTATACGGGTTCTACTCCGAAACGATCTCTACGTCACGAAAAGCGATTTGTACAGAGGAGGACACCGCTCGTTCGCCTCTCATGGTGGCGTGTATGTCTGGATGAAGCCCAGATGATAGAGAGTGGAGTCAGCAATGCGGCGAAAGTAGCTCGCTTGATCCCTCGAGAGATTGCTTGGGCTGTGACCGGCACTCCACTGCGCAGAAACATAGACGACCTGTTTGGCCTTCTTCTTTTCCTTCATTATGAGCCGTTCTGCTTTTCAGCCCCCTTGTGGAGAAGATTGTGTCTGTGTTTTGGGCCAGTCCTAGGCAAAATCATAAACACAATCGCTCTTCGGCACAGGAAAGGTCAGTTACTGGATGAGCTTCGCTTACCACCCCAAAAGCGCATCGTTATCACTACTCCCTTCACAGCTATAGAAGAACAGAAATACGCTCAGCTTTTCGAAGAAATGTGTGAAGAATGCGGGTTGAACGCCTTAGGAGCCCCCTTCGAGGCGACTGGGACCCCGAAGATCCTGTAATTGTCGATAAAATGCGTACTTGGTTGACGAGACTCCGCCAAACGTGCCTTCATTCCGAAATCATCAGCTATCACCGAATCCTAGGCACAGGCTCTGGTTCTTTGCGGACTGTGGCCCAAGTTCTGGAAGCCATGACCGTGGCCAACGAGGTGGCCATACGTACGGAAGAACGGTCGCTCCTTTTATCTCAACTTCGACGAGGCCAGCTTCTAGAAAATGCGAAACGTCGCCATGAAGCTCTCGCTCTTTGGCAGGAGGCATTGGATCAAGCCACTCAGCTTGTTGAAGACAGCAGAGAGCAACTTCGCCGACTGAATGCCAAAGGCGCTACCGGTGACAATAACGGGGCTACTCCAGGGATCATCGACCTGGATGGCGAGGATGAAGACGAGGATAAGGAGGATGAAAAGGAGGAAGAGGCAGATAATAACAGCCACCTCGGTCAGTGTCGACTAAAGCTTCGAGCTGCACTCGAGGTCCAGCATATTGCAGTGTTCTTCACTGCGAACGCGTATTACCAAATCAAGAGCGACCCAAATTTGACCCGGCCAGATTCGGATGAGTTCAAAGCGCTTGAGAAACGTGAAGAGGATGCTTATGAAGCTGCAAAAGTCATTCGCAAGGAGATGTTGACTGATATTTCCCGGAAAGTCGAGCGCCGCATGAAAGAAATCAAGATTAAGGCACGAGATAAAACATTCGCGGACATCCCGAAAATGAAACCCCATCTCTATAGCAAAGGAATCGAGTCATACAATCTGCTCAGCAAGTTTGAAGATTTCTGCGACGCTCTTAACAGGCATGCCGAGCAATACAAGGAATGGCGGGATATCATGGCCAGACTGGTCTCTCAGTCACTCATTGACCAGGAAGAAGAAGCAAAGCTGGAGGGTGATGAGTATGAGCGGTCAACAAAACATCAAGATGAGATGTATGTCTACATGGAGGCTTTGAGGGCAATTCACAGTGACCGTCATGACGCTCTCACTGGCCAGAAGAACACTCTCATTTCCCATGAAGTCAAGTCTGGAATTGTCCAGGCCGAAAGAGGCGAGGGGCCCTCTCCACAACTATTTCTCCAGATTATGGAAACTCGTAGTCAGGTTATGCCTGATCCTGATCTTGGATCGCTCCGCAACATTGTCAGTGAGCTTCGCAGACTTGTGGCATCGCTGGAGTGGCAAGCCGACGAGGGCAATTCGCGTGCTCGTGCTGAACATGAGATTGTCGAAATGGTCTTGAAAAACGCCGGTCAACTGATCGCTGAGCAACTGAAAGTATCAAACAAACTGAGCAAAGAAGTTCAAATTTTCCGCGACGCCATGAACAATCGACTGGAGTATTATCGTCACCTGCAGCAGATTTCGGATACGGTGGCCCCATACGACGAGGAAAATGTAGGCAAGCCACTAGATGAAACTGCTTTTACCCTGATGCTGGAGCGAGAGGGAGTCACCGAAGGAAAGATTGCATCTCTCAAATCCAAAGCAAGATATCTCATTTACCTGAGAGATGATACTAGCTCCGACAGTAACGCTCGAGAGTGCATTGTCTGCCGATCGACTTTCGAAGTTGGTGAGTATTGCTTTCTCTGGATGTATCGTTTACACGCAGACTGACCTCTCACGCAGGTGTGTTGACCGTGTGTGGTCACAAGTATTGCACTGACTGTTTGCGACTGTGGTGGGCTGCACACCAAAATTGCCCAATGTGCAAGAGGAAGTTGAAGCGTAATGACTTCCATCGGATCACATACAAGCCACAGGAGCTAGTTGTCCAAGAGGAAAAGACACCTGCCAAATTGGAACACGAAGGTCACTCTCAGAATGCGATTTACAGTGACATAAGCTCAGGTCACCTCAATGAGATCAAGAACATTGACTTGGAGGAATCTTACGGGACAAAAATCGATACTTTGGCCCGACACATCCTATGGCTACGGGAACACGACCCTGGCGCAAAGTCGATTATTTTCTCTCAATACGGAACCTTTCTGTCGCACTTACAGCTCGCATTCAGATCCCTTGGAATAGTTGCCACCAGTATTGACTCTCCGGATGGCATTGAGAAGTTCAAAACAGACCCGGCTGTAAGCTAACTGGACCCATCCCTCATTGAAAGGAATGCGCTGACGATTTCCAATGTAGATTGAGTGCTTTTGTTTGCATGGCAAAGCACAGTCATCCGGACTGAATTTGATCGTTGCAACCCATGTCTTTCTATGTGAGCCCCTAATCAACACGGCAATCGAGCTCCAGGTCATTGCTCGAGTGCATCGTATTGGCCAAAATCGACCAACAACAGTATGGATGTACCTTGTCTCTGGCACGGTGGAAGAATCCATATATGAGATCTCAGTAACCCGACGCCTGGCTCATATCATGGAGAAGGAGAAGCAAGTCAAAAAATCACTATTGGAATACCCTGCCGACAGCGATGGTGTTACTGAAGAGGCGATTGAATCTGCCAACTCGATGGAACTACAAGATGCCACTCTCACAACCCTGATGCAACGCGGCTCCGTGGGTGGAGAAATGGTAAAGAAGGACGACCTTTGGCAATGCATCTTTGGAAATACCAAGCAGAAAGATGGCGCTGATCTTTCAACTGAGGCAGAAAGGGAGGTTGGTCGGTTCTTGAGAGGTGAAGCTGCTGAGCAAAGAATGGAGGGTTGAGATATCGATATTTATTGTATTTTAGAACATGCTATGTCTTGTTACGACGTAGACTCAATGTTCGCTTGCTTATTCCCCCTTCTTTTCTTATTTCCTAGGTTATATATTGTAAACTCATCTATGTTGATGTCAGATAGTTATAGAGGGCCTGCCAAGAAAAGTGACTAATCACATAATGACTAATCAATGGACCACCTGGGCAGGTGCCCCCATACTGTTCACTTGATGGCGATGACGTGAGTGCAGTTGCCTATATCATTTCTTCCTTTATAAATCTGGTCATCTTGGTGTTTTTCTTTTGTGTCAATTTGATGCTTCGTTAGAATTGTCCCTTTGCAAAACACTTTCATCATGGCGGACTCACAGAGTCCTGAGGCTCGCGAGTTGAGCCTGATAGGCAAGGTGGAATTCAGAATTGCTATGGCAGACACGGACGAGAAGCTGCAGTCACTACTTGGAACGTATTTGCCTCCATTGTTGCTAAAGCTTGGGTCAGACAGCGTGGAGGTGCGCAACAAAATCATCTCGGTCTGCCAGCATGTCAACACCCGAGTCAAATCCCCCTCTATTCAGCTGCCCGTGGCAGCATTGTTGAAGCAGTTCAAGGAGCAAAATTCTCAATTGATCAGACATTTTGATCTTGTCTATGCTCAGCAAGGCATTGATCGCCTCGGCTCCGAAGCTAGAGTCGAAATCCTATTGCCCTTGCTCCAGGGTATCTCGAAGATCGGAACGTCACCCACTCAGGGTGCTATCGTATTTAATCTGGTTTTGCGTCTATTGCCACTTCTCAAGCTACCAGCAAAAGGCAGTGAAGAAGATCAGCGCCTGAAGGCCCGACTCGGTCTATCCGACGAAGATTCCAGCTTCTTGTCCTTGTGGCTCGCGAAATTGTTACTTCTTACCCCAGGCCCTAGGGACACTCCAACATGTCCCGGTCTATCTCCAGATGAGTATAGCTTCTTGAACAAGGGTGCCCCCGGAAACGAGACATGGAACCCTTCTACCGATGGAGGCTTGAATCTGACAGAGACGAAAGTCACCGCCCTTCGATTCATCGGAAGCGGTGCTTTTAAGGATCCACAACGATTCCTGCCTTCACTGATCGCTTCTGCTGATCCTAACTCTCGCCTTGCTGATCTGGGAGATGAGACCCTGAAGCGATTTACTGCGGATATTGAGAACCCTGATGTTGTGCAGGAGTTGTATGATTTGTATTTCGGCACTGGTGGTGCTCCCCCGGCGCGCTCTCCACTTCAAGTGAAGCTCCTCGTCTTTCTGGGGAAGTCCATCAAGGCTACTGCAGACCCCCAGCGAATAATGAGACTCATTGAAGATGGGCTCCTATCAGACTCGGCTAGATCCTCCCAGGGGCTGCAAGCATCGAAACTACGGACCCAGATTTTTACGTTTACTACTTGGGTCGTCCGCATGGGCACACCATCGGATCTCAACCAAATCGCGCCCAGACTAATTGCAGGACTGAGGGATTTTATTCAGTCTCAAGGATGGCCCAGTCCGGCAGCTAGTGGGCAAAAACTACCCACAACAGACCTCAGCTTGCGAGGTCTTGCCTACGAGAGCATCGGTATCATGGTCCCCAAGGTCGACTTTATGGCGCAAGCCGATGCTGTAGATAACTTTGAATTCGACCTGGTCCGATGGCTCTTTGCTTCCTTGAGTGCGGATGACTCTAGTCCTCAGATATTCGTCAGCATCGATCAGGCACTGGGAAGTATTCTCAATTCTTCGTTAGACAGCCACGACAAGACCTTCCAGGACCAGCTGCGACCATTCCTTGTTCGTCAGATGAGCATGCAGCCTGGCGATATTGATCCCGATACTGGTTACCGTGCTGTGCGAGGTGTTCAGTATGCCGCAGTTCGTTTTGCAAACCGATTCCTACCATTTAACGATGTGGTCGCCCGTTGGATCGATTTGATGGCCATTGCAAGAGGCCCAGAGAGACAACAAGAAATCGTTGAAGAAGGAAAGAAAGGTCTTCATCCTTACTGGTACCGGCTCCTCAATCCTGCCAAGGATGGGAAATGGTCAGCCTCATCGGCAGCTCCAGTTCGCGACGAATCCTGGTTCAACTTTCCAAAGTTCAATGAGGCTACTCGTTTCCTGCTTGGTTCAGGAGAACAAGAGGAACATTTGAATGTTCAGGCTTTGTCTGCATCCCAACTACTATCTGGTCCTTACAAAGGTTCATTCATGCCCGCCATCTCATTCCTCCGAAATACATTGCTTTGGGAGGCTTTCTCGGCCTCGGGGGTTGCCACAGGCCTAGAAGAAGATTGGGACTATAAACTAGAAGTGCTCCTCTCCACCAGCGTGGAGGCCCGTTCAGCCGTGAGAAAATACATCCGAGAGTCTGCGAAGGAGTCTGTTTTGGCATTTTTGTCTGGCACCCTTGAAGGTCTTGTAACTGGCGAGCGCGAAGGCCTGCGGCAGTGTGGTATTCATTTCGTCGAAATCTGCTCGCTATCACCCAATGACGTTGTTGAACATTTGGTCTCGCGCGTGACGTCCTTGATGGAGCCTATTTGCAGCAACAACCAAGATAACCAAGGTATTACTGCACGGGCATTTGGAATTCTGGTTTCGCATCCTGCCTTCTCGGAGGACCAACTGAAGAGTTTCATTACCCAGCTGACTGCTACCATTCAATCGTGGAATACTGCTGTTGGTCAAGAGGTCATGCGAGCTCGTGGGGCGATTTTGGCGCTCTCGTATTTGTTGAGTCGACTTGCGTACCGCGGCCTAGTGAACCGAGCTCCAGCAGCACAAACCAAGCAGTTTATCGAAACACTGTTTGATATTCTAGATGTTTCCCGGGATACTCTGCTTCAAAGGACTGCACAAGAGGCCATTGGACAGCTAAGTCTATCTGGCGTGCTGTCTCTTGATATTATCACAGAAGATGGCTGGAAGAAGATCCTGGAAAAGCTATCGCGCGACGCCAAAACCGAGAATCAAATCCCTATCAGCTCTCTGGGGCTGTTGACTATGACCTTTTCCCGGTCTGGCTCAGACAGTACCTTGTTCAGCGATTTCCTAAGTTCACTCTACAGTCTGCATGAAATCCGCAGTCCCGAAGTTCAGTTCACGGTAGGCGAGGCCTTGAGCAATGTCGCTGTTGACTGGGATTCTCGGGCGCTTATCCAAGAGTTCGACATCGATGCAGAGTTCCCTCGCTCAGACGCCCCGCGCTCAGTGTTTACAGTCATCTGTGACAAGGTCATTGCCGATTGCATTGCGCCCAAGCCATCTCTGCGGAAGGCGTCTGCAATCTGGCTGTTGTCGCTGGTTAAGAACTGCGGTCACCTGCAGGAGATGCAGGAGCGGCTGCGTAAGTGCCAAGCTACTTTCAGTAGCCTTCTTGGAAATCGGGACGAGGTGGTGCAGGAAACTGGAGCGCACGGACTCAGCCTTGTATATGAGATCGGCGACCAATCCCTGAAGGATGATTTGGTCCAAGATTTGGTCGAGTCATTCACCTCAACTGGTCCCAATCTCGGAGGTGGCAAGATTGAGGCTGACACACAGCTATTTGAGCCTGGGGCCCTCCCCACTGGTGAAGGATCGTCTGTCAATACCTACAAGGATATCATGAACCTGGCTGCCGAGGCGGGTGACCCCACTCTGGTTTACCGGTTTATGTCCTTGGCTTCAAACAATGCTATTTGGACAAACCGTGCGGCGTTTGGCCGCTTCGGAATCAGCAGCATCTTCTCTGATTCTAGTGTCGATGGCTATCTAGCGAAGAACCCCAAGATTTACCCCAAGCTTTTCCGTTACCGGTTCGATCCTAACCCGAACGTGCAAAGATCTATGAACACCATCTGGCAAGCACTAGTTAAAGACCCTACCGTTGTCATTGATACTCACTTTGATGATATCATGCAGGATCTACTCAAGAGCGTTCTAGCTGGTCGAGAATGGCGTGTTCGGCAAGCAAGTTGTGCTGCCGTGGCAGACTTGATTCAAGGTCGCCGCCCGGAGAAGTATGCCCAGTATCTCGATGAGATCTACAGCAAGGCCTTCAAACTACTGGATGATATCAAGGAATCTGTCCGCACTGCCGCGCTGAAGCTCTGTCAAACCATTACCAATTCAGTCATCCGCACACTCGAGACGAGCGGCTCGGAGAAGCGCGCAGGTACTTTACTTAAAAGTGCGATCCCCTTCCTTCTGAGCGATAAGGGACTGGATTCCAGCGTGGAAGAAGTGCAAGGATACGCAATTGGAGCTCTTATCTCAATGATCAAGAAGAGCCCTGGCAGCTTATTGCGCCCTCATGTTCCCAATATGCTGGAGAAATTCCTGAGTGCTCTCAGCTCCCTGGAGCCACAGGCTGTCAACTATGTCCACCTCAATGCCGACAAATATGGTCTCACTGGTCAAGAGATTGACAAAATGCGTCTGTCCAGCATCCGCACATCCCCCATGATGGAGGTGATTGAGCGGCATCTGATTGACAACTTGGATGAAACCAATCTCGATGAACTGGCACATAGACTCGAAGATGTGCTTCGGTCGGCCGTGGGCCTGCCATCGAAGGTGGGTTGCAGCCGAGTTCTGGTGCTGCTTAGTATGAAAACCTTGCTCTTCCGCCCGTACGCGGACCGATTTATCCAAATCCTGACCAAGTACGTGGTGGACCGAAACGACACGGTCAGTGCCTCGTACTGCTCATCCATGGGTTATCTGCTGCGGCTCGCTTCGGACGATCGGGTTCTCAGGACCTTTGACTACGCCAAAAACCTCTACCTGACAGCTGAGGATGCCACACCACGAGTGATCTCCGGCGAGATCCTATACTCGGCGTCCAAACTGTCCAACGATCGGTTCATGGCATTTGCGGCGAGCGCGTTGCCGTTCGTCTTTGTGTGTAAGCACGATGGCGACGAACATGTGAAAGAGCAGTTTGAGAAGACATGGCAGGATAACGTCGGTGGATCGCGTGCCGTATCACTTTACATTCGCGAGATTGT